GTATTGTCAGTTTTATTAGAATAACGAATCTGTAGGGATGAGGTTTCTATAAGGCTTTTCCTTCAGCCATAATCCTATTTCTGCTCAATTGGGATTTCCCTCAAAGTTGCAGTATCTCAGTGAGAGACATTCCAAGGAAATTCTCCCTGTATTACACTTGAGCAATGAAGATATCTCCTGATTTCCCTTCCAAAATTTACATTATATTCAAGAGACTTGTTCTATTCTCACAGCTCAGGGTTACTCACTACTGAACCATCCCATCTGTGTTGTGACTGCCAAAGATTGTTCATATTCCTAGTCAGGATAACCAAGGTTCCTAGTGACCTGAAACGCAGAGGGTGGTGCGTATATGGAACGAGCTGCCAGAGAAAGTTGCAGAGGCGAGTACAATTACAACGTTTAAAAGACATTTGGACAGGTAGACAGATAGGAAAGGTTTAAAGGGATACCGGCCAAATGCAGGCAAATGGGACTCGTTCAATTTAGGAAATGTGATCGGCATGGATAAGTTGGGCCAAAGAGTCTGTTTCCATGCTGCATGACTTTATGACTCTAAATTAGACCAGAGAAAATTGAATTACTGTGTATATACTTGATATATTTAGGAAGCAACTTCAATTAATTGTACATTATCTTCCCACACTGTCACAAATCTTTCTAATTTTTAATTTGTCCACTGATATTTTCACTTTTCAATATGGCAAGTGGTTTATCTGAGGTCAAAAATGTTAATTCCCTTCACATAATTGCATGGGCTCATAAAACATTGCTACTTCAGTGGGAACTGTGTTCATTTGCTTATCCCGTGACTCCCCTGTTCATCACAGGAAAATGACATCTCTCAGTCATGAGAGCCCTGGGAAATTCCTGCTGATGCTTTTAGAAAGTTAAGCGACTGTGAAATCACTTCTACAGAAACAAAGTAAGCCCAGTTGACTTAACACGGTTTTATAAATTAAATTTGTACAAATGAAATCACCTTTAATGTTAATTTTACCAATCTCAGAAGCAGTAAGGTTCTTTCACTGGTTTGGAAACCAAGACTACAATCCAGTGAGGATTTGCCCAATATCTTTCCATTGCCCCATTCTTTAATTGATTTGGTGGTGTGCTGTCTGTAAGATTAATGTGTTAATCCACTGGTGTTTGTTGCTCCATCCATTTACTGACTTATTGGTTTTCCCTACTTCTGCATTACTTCATTAATTCGTCAGCAAGTATTGTTCCAATGATTTACCTGCTGATGTGCCTATTGCTGAATGAATTTATTATTTCAGTAGGTGTGCCTCCTATTGCAATAATTCATTAATTCACTGGACAAGTTACAGTAGTTGTGGTCATTCTGCAAAATTAAATTATTTGCTGGTAACTGCTGCACCATTGTTTAATTTGTTTGTTGTTTTTGTTCCTGTTCCAATATGTTATTGATTAGATGGTTTGCTCAATCTTTGTTTATTAATCAATGGTATGGGTTACTCTATCAATGTACAGTTAGTATACCTCACTCCTGTCTGGTTTTATTCATTCATTACCACTCCCTGCTTTCCATTAGCTTATTAACTTTTCATGCAATTGGCATCTATGATTTAATTAATTCTTTTGTGTCTGAAACTCCAACTCTTTATCAGTTTGCTAATTTGTTTGCTGCAGTGTTCATATTTTTGATTTGTTGCTCTCTATGAATACCATGCTTCCTGATAACCCATTAATTTAACTGTTGGATGCTGTACCTGCTGGTTTATGAATTGATGAATTCTGTGGTGCCCACTTCTCTGTCTAATTTGCAGTCATTCACTGACATACTAATTATTTGGTTACTGGTTCCCTCAGCTGTTGAAAATTATTTATCTAGAGATGTGAATGGCTCCAATAATTTATAAATTCAATGGGGTCTACTTAGCTGTGATGCACTGTTCTTCAGCATTCTTTCGTTGTTTTGAGTAATTCATTTGGCTTGTTATCAGAATTTTCCATCTGAAGCCCACCAGCTGCAGCTTGTGGATAGGCTGTGATTTTGTTTAATATACGCTACAGTGAGAATTCACAACTTAGGACTCAAGTGCGACTTCGTCCTGTCTCAGCACTGCCACCACAAATTCTTGAACCTGCCCACAAATTATGGATGATTTGGGATTGTATTTAGCCAGTTGCGACAACAGTTTGACAAATATCTTCCTGTTAGTTTATAGTCTGATTTGAGTGCAGAATTGCTTTGGTTTTTGTTTCTCATGTCTGGATATCTTTCAGTAAGCTTAAAACGGTATGGCTGTTTCTAAAATTAGGATCCTTTCTGATCAGAAAAAGACAAGAGGAGCAACAGATAGAAAAGCCACATTTAGGAACAGTTGAAAGGAGAGCACAGAAAGAGAAAGAGATTTGCATTTATACAGCACTTTTCCCAACTGCTAGATGCCTCAAAGCATTGTACAGCTAAAGAAAATCTTTTGAAGTTTAGTCACTGTTGCAATTTAGGAAATGCAACTGACAGTTAGCTCCTACTAATGGCTATATAATAAAGGCCAGATTTTTTTCTGATATCAGTTGGAGGACAAGTATTGTCTGGACACTGGATAACTCTCCAGCTCTTCTCCAAAGTAGTACCGTGTGATCTTTAACATGTGCCAGAGCAGGCATATAGAGTTTTAGTTTAATGTTTCATTTAAAAGTCAGCAAATCTGACAGTGCGGCACTCTGTCAATATTACACTATAGTGTCAGCCTTAATATTTTGAGTAGGAGACCTTTCAGACACTTTTATTTGCTCAATGGGTTGAGCTGTGGATGACTAACGATATCTGCACTTCTCGGAGGAACAGGCATTGCTGTGTATCTCCTGGAAGAAAGACGGTCGCAGACCAATGTTGTCACCTGCGACCACAGCTGCGATTCATGCTAAACTTATTGTAGTCCTTAACTTTGTCATCTCCAATTTCTTCCATGCATTAGTTTAACAGCAGTATCTAGTTCCTGACACAGGTCACTGATACATGCAAATTTATCATTTTGCCCGTGGTGAACCAAAATGGCAGGTTGGAAGTCTAAGATCTGAACAAATCACAGACTGTTTCCAAGTTCATAGCAACAGTGCCAGCACACAATTTACTATGAGGATCCTTAAAAGCAGATCATTACCTTCACGAACTGTTAGGGAATCCATGACTTTAATGTGGAACTGCTGTGCCATCACCAGCAATACATCATGCCAATTTGTACCTTCTTTCCTTGCAGATTTTTAAAACCTTTTCCTGGGATATGTGCAGCATTTGCAGGCCCAGCATGTGTTGTTCCTTCCCCTCAAACTGAGTGGCTTGCTAGGCCATTTCCATTAAAAGTCAACTGCATCCAGAGTCTCATAGGCCACACCTGAAAAGAATTGCAGATTTCTTTCCCTAAAGGACCTTAGTGAATCAGATGGATTTTTATGTCAGTAGATGTTAGCTTCATGGCCACCATTCCTGAAACTAACTTTCCATTCTAAATTCTATCAATTGAATTCAAGTTCAACTATCTTCCATGGGTGGGATTTGAACACACTTTCTGAAAGCATTAACCTGGGTCTTTCAATGACTAGTCTAGTGACATCATCAGTTCACCATCATCTCCTGTCAATGCTTTCATATTGCACCAATTTTCAAGCTCACAATCTTGGCGACTACATAGCAAGTGAGAGGCTATCTGTTTTGAAACACTTGGTTGATGTCTCCTTTCCAAAGCCATGTTGACTGATGGAACTGTATGACATTCATGCCTGCATATTGGGTGGATTTAATGGCATCAATGCACTCTTCATTTGCTGGCTGAAGAAACTTTGGGGGCCCTGCATTGCCTCCTTTAGGGAAATCCTGCTGCATTGAGCCACTTAGGCACTTAACAAGTCACTGGTCAACCCTCTCCCAGGATCAAGAAGCTGGGAGTGGGTGGGAGAGGGATTGGGGAATGGACGTCCAACTCACTGAGAGCTGCCAGCCATTCAGAGACCAACTGTTCTTTACTCAGCAGCACCGCTAAAACCTTGGATTCAGGAGGGATGCAAGAATAGGGGAGTGATGGCGGGAAGGGGCTGCTGGTGTAGGGGTAATGGAGAAACGATGGCTTTTGGCTGTGCTGCTCCTTCCTGATGATAACTCCCTTGGGAGCCTGCAAGAATAGACAAACTAGATTATTATTCATTCTCCCTGCATTGTGAGTCCCCCACTCGGCTCTGAGTTCATACAAACAGTGTGGGATAAGGCCCTTGAGTGGACATTAATTGGCCACTTAAGCAGTTTAATTGACAGAAGAGGAGGATGCTGCCCATGGGCCTTCCTACCACAAACTTAATCGGTGGAGGTGGGAAGTTTGGGGGGTCTTCATTTAACTCCCTCCTGCTCAATTAAATGTCCTACCCAAAACTAATGGTGATGGGTGTTAAATTGTGCCATTGACTGGACCCTATATTATTTGAGCCTCAGGACGTAACTGCAGGATTTCCTCAATGCCCTAGGCCCGGCCATCATCAACTTCTTCTTCAACGACCTTCCCTCCATCATCATCAGAAATGGAAATGGTTGCAGATGATTGCACCATGTTCCTGAACGTTTACAACTCCTCAGCAATCCATGCTCATATGCAGCAAGACAATGTTCCGGGTTGGACTGAAAATCACAATCAACATTCATGCCATGTAAAGTGACAGGGAATGTTTATCTGCAGCAAAAGAACATCTAACCACAAAATCTGCAAGGAAAGAAGGTACAAATTGGCGTAATGTACTGCATTTGGGGTAATATCACCACTGAATCCCCCCAACATCAACATCATGCTACTATTGACTGGAACAAGGAAAACAAGCTTTATTACTGTAATTTACTGCATTATGTATAACTTTGTTCTGTAATGAAGATAATGTTGGGCTCTTGAATGGATAAAACACTTTTGTTAAGATGACGTAATACCCAGTTTATGAAACAGTGCTCCAGAATATGTTGCTGCTCACAGATAAAATACCATCCTTTTCAGGTTTATGTTAAAAAGGACGAAACCTGATTATAACTTGGCTCACTCTTCACCTCGACTTACGGAGGAGGTACTGGCAGAGGACAGGGATGATTATGACTTTCTGATGCAGACAACAACAGTAAGTGGTTAATGATGATCACCTTCAATCAGAATTATTGACATTCTAACCAAATACTTCAAGCATTTTTATATGTTTAGCTGTTTCTAAACCAGTTTTAATTTACATGATCAAAATAGATCACAGCTTATGAATCAAGCTGTTGACTCACCAGTTGTTGTCCAGTATTTTCATTAAGGGCCAAATGAATGCAAAATCATAAAAGGAAATGAATAACAAACAAATGGAACATGCAGCATTTATTTAGTTCTCCATTTCTGTCATTTGCTGTTTCTGTTTTAATGGTACCAAGCATAACATTTGGAGCGATATCTGCTTTTTGTATCTAAAACAAAACTAGTGAAAGCACAATTATTTGATCTATTTATTGCATATGTAATTTGTTACAAAATACAATGTAAAATGTTGGATAGTGTTGCCACTCTCCGGTGCCATCTAATAACACAGAAAAATAAACCAAAACATCGAACATAAAGGCAGAAAAATGAAGAAATAAAGAAAAGGTTTTCGACTTTTATCGTCCTTCTTGTTAAATGCTCCACCATGGGCCATGGGCCGGGTGGCCATGCATGAGTTCCCTTTGCTGTGCCGCTTTCGCTGGAATGAAAGTCACCGCACTTCGATGCCATCTCGCCTCCAATGATGCCCTCACCACTATGTGCCCTCAATGGATCTTGCCAATGCAGATGCCACTGATGCAGCCAAGTACCACGCTGACCCAAACTTGTCTCCGCAACCACCATGAGTCCGCTTCGGGACCATCTTGCCAATGCAGCCACTGCTAATGCTGCCAGGTTGCATACTGGGCTAAATTAAAATGTATGTTGAGTTATATGTATAATTCACTGGCTCCAGTGATATCTCCACCCTCAGTGATGGAAGAGCCCAACATAGCAGTGCAAAAGATAAGGCTATAGCATTTGCAGCAATCTTTAGCCAGAAGTGGATGACTTATCTCGGCCTCCTCCAGTGGCCCCAGCATTAGTGATACCAGTCTTCAGCCATTTTGATTCTCTCCACATGATATCAAAAAACAATTGGAGACACTGGATATTGCAAAGGCTGTAGGTCCTGACAGTATTCCGGCAATAGTACTAAAGACTTGTGCTCCAGAACTTGCCTCTCCCCTCGCCAAGCTCTTCCAGTACAGTTACAACACTGGCATCTACCCATCAATGTGGAAAATTGCCCATGTATGTGCTGTAAACAAAAAGCAGGACAAATTCAACCTGGTCAATTACCACTGCATCAGTCTACTCTCAGTGATCAAAAAGTGATGGAAGGTGTCATCAATAGTGCTATCAAACGGCACCTGCTCAGCAATAATCTGCTCACTGATGCTCAGTTTGGGTTCTGCCAGGGTTACTCAGCTCCTTATTTCATTCCAGACTTGGTTCATACATGGACAAAAGAGTTAAATTCCAGAAGTGAGGTGAGAGTGACAGCCCTTGACATCAAGGCTACATTTGACTGAGTGTGGCATCAAGGAGCCCCAACAAAACAGGAATCAATCAGGGGTCAAACTCTCCACTGATTGGTGTCATACCTGGCACATAGGAAGGTGGATGTGGTTGTTGGAGAAAATGAGGTAACTTCCTGTGGTTGCTGGATGTTGGTCATCTCAGCTTCAGGACATCTCTGCAGGCGTTCCTCAAGGTAGTGTCCTAGGCCCAAACATCTTCAGCTGCTTCATCAATGACTTTTCCTCCATCATAAGGTCAAAAATGGAGATATTTGCCAATGATTGCACAATGTTCAGCACCATTTGTGACTCCTCACATACTCCTCACATGTTCAAATACAACAAGATCTAGATGCTATCCAAGCTTGGGCTGACAAATGGCAAGTAACATTTGTACCACACAAGTGCCAGGCAATGACCATCTTCGATAAGAGACAATCTAATCACTGCCCCTTGACATTCAGTGATGTTACCATCATTGAATCCCCTATTATCAACATCTTGGGCATTACCATTGACCAGAAATTCAACTGAACTCACCACATAAACGCAGTGGCTACAAGAGCAGGTGAGAGGCTAAGAATACCACAACGAGTAACATACCTCCTGACTCACCAAAGCCTGTCCACCATCTACAAGGCACAAGTCAAGAGTGTGGTGGAATACTCCCACTTGCCTGGATGGGTGTAGCTCCAACTACACTCAAGAAACTTGACACCATCAAGGACAAAGCAGCTCCCTTAATTGGCACCACATCCACATGCATCTAGTCCCTCCACCACTGACACTCAGTAGCAGCAGTATGTACTATCTGCCAGATGCTGTGCAGTAACTCACTAAAGATGCTCAGACAGGACCTTCCAAATCCAAGACCACCTCCATCTAGAAGGACAAGGGCAGCAGATAACTGGGAACACCGACAATTCCAAGTTCCCCTCTAAGCCACTCACCATCCTGACTTGGAAATATATCACCATTCCTTCATTGTCAGTGAGTCAAAATGCTGAAATTCCCTGCCTAACGGCATTGTGGGTCAACCCACAGCTCACCTCCACCTTCTCAAGGGCAACTAGGGACAGGCAATAAATACTGGCCCAACCAGCGATGCCCATGTCCTATGTGTCAATAAAAAAAAGTGACTAACTCTTAAGATTTCAGGTATCCAACATCTGCAATTTTTTGTTTTATTTTAGTGTTTACTGTGAAGCATTGGCAGATGCATGCTGCATTTGTATTTGATTGCATGACTAAGTGTTTGCGGGCATCAATTCTGTTCTGTTGCATTTTCAATCTAACCCACATTTATGCAACAGAATAATTTTCACTGGAAGCAGTTCTGAAAATGTCTTGGCTTCTCTGGATCTGGATTAACCCCATTTACACATTGGGGTATAATTCAGAGGGAGTTGACATCCCTCTAACACACTGAGCAACAGTGCCATGCAGCTCTGTAGTGGCACAGGGTTTTTTACTCTTGCAAATGTGACTGGGGCTTTATTGCTGAGGATTATTTTCCCCAGTATCTAGGGAAAGTCCATACTGGTCAGCAACATAATCTTGTTTTGCCTTCACTGTAAGTGAGTGAAAAAATTGTGCAAGATCACTTCTTGTGCTGCCATTGTCATAGTTGGAGAGTGGCAGTGAATGATTGGAGATTGAGAAAAAGAAATGGAGAGGGTATATGTTGTTAGCCTCTCCGCTAATCACAGTTTTCTCTTTTACAGTACTATTATTCTGTGAGAATATTTCCTGGTCAGGAGCCAACTAATGTGTGGGTCGGTTGGGTTACCTCAGATTTTCATCAGTATGACGCTGCGTATGATCTGGAGAAGGTTCGCACTGTGACGGTAACACTAGGAGATGAGAAAGGAAAAGTTCATGAAAGGTAAAGAATTGTATTGTGACTGGACCAAGCAATAACTTTGTGGCTGAACAGTTGAATAAGGATAAAAGAAGGCAACTTCCTGAATAAGTAACTGCTTGGAGGAAGGCGCTTTCTTCTTCAATAAAAGATAGGTATTGAAGAGAGATATCCCCCTAGACATCGGAAGTAACATTTGAGTCTTAGCTGAATAAGGTTTTAATTTGAGCTGAGTTATTGAAGGGAGAAGAAGATTTTAACATGAAGGAGAATTGAGGGGCTTGATGTTACGGGAGTATGTGGTCCTCATGATCTCGATAGCTGCCATGCAGCAGTTTTACTCTGGGAGCAGCATTAATTATTTTCAGGCAAAACTTCAGCCCCCTTCTTAGGAAGAACTGTCACCCTTGAGAGCCAAAGTTAGAAGTGGTGTCCAACTGTGCTGAGAGGCTCAGGCAGGTCCTAGATCAGGTATCTTAGTGAGGAGTGTGGGGAATGGGTGGACAAGGCTGTGAGAAATATGGGGAGGCAGATTTAAAGGGAGGATGATTTCAGTTTGGAATGGTTAAGGTGGGGTGGTTGTTGGTTGGTGGATGTCTCCATTGGGCCGAGGGGCCCTAAATAGGAGGCTCTTGCCCCCCTGTCTTCCGGACTGGCATGAGACCTCTGCAGGTAAAGTGCCAGCACAAATGTGATCACATCTGTAAGTGGCTATAAGTGATATAGTTTAGGTCTTCAAAAGGCCCAAGGAGGGTGTGTGGGGAGCTCAGTGCCTGATGTCTGTCCACCCTCCATAAAATTTCAGAGAGTTCGGGAGATGGGGGAGGAGAGATTTGGTTGGATAGGCAATGATGGAGCTCCTGCGGAATGTTGTCCAACCCATCAAAGGTGCTGTAAAATCCAGCCTCAGGTTTATTTTTAATTAACCTGATTTTCTAATCACCCTGTTCAGAGATCTTATTACACACCTCGAGAACAGTTGGGCTTGAACCAGGGTCACTCGGTCCAGGGGTAGGGACACTACCACCGCGCCAGTAGAGGGGATAGTTTTAGGAATGATTTTGATGAGGCCAAGATTTTCTGTTGCTGTACAGCAATCAAGAATGAGGACAGAATGGTGTCAGCCCTATGTTGGACCTAGGAATGATAATGTTACATTTGAAGAATTAAAAGAAGAATTTGTTACACCATACTTATTGTTCCCTCTAAACTGCTATCCTTTGCAGTGCAACAAACAGACCGTGTGCACAACCAACATTACCTTTAACATGCTCACATGGATGACTCTGCAATAGCCTGACAGTATGCACTACAAGATCTAGACATTGCACAACCAAGAAACATTACAGCAATCAGTACAAGGGACTTGGATAAGGAGGGTATGACAATTTGTTGACTGACGAACAATGCTGCATGTGCATTGAGACGGCACCCTGAAAGTCGCAGAACACCTCAAGGCAGTTGTCAGTAGCATTATGAAACATTATTTGACACTGGACCACATGAGGAGGTATTAGGACTGATGACCAAAAGCTTGACCAGTGAGAAACTCTTTCAGCTGGTGAATTTTGGAGCTTAAGAGGTGTGAGGTGATTGCTTGAGGAGTGTACTGAAGCTTTTAATAGGCCTATGAAAATAAAACATAATTTCGGGACCAGACCAAAATGTCAGCTTTCCTGCTGCTCTGATGCTGCCTGGCCTGCTGTGTTCATCCAGCTCTACACCTTGGTATCTCAGACTCCAGCATTGGCCGTTCCTACTATCTCATAATGAGTCTTCAGCTGTTTTGTAAGAAGCCTTGAGCAGTCCTTTCAAAGAGCATTGGTTAGGTCAGTAATTTGTTACAAATGGCTGAGAATTGTAACTGATGTAGCATCCCAACTTGCTTAATTAAACAGCTAGACCCCAGCTGAAAACAAGTTGGTGGGATGGTCACCCACTAAGGTAGCTCTGGAAGTCACATCAGGTGGGCCCTGATGTCAGTGGGATTGTCAGGGTGCTGCCCCCACCCTGATTTTAAACTGTTGAATGTCTTTTTTGGAATCACTTGGAAACATCCTTTAATCATAGAATCCCTACAGTATGGAAGTAGGCCATTCAGCCCATCGAGTCCACAGCGACCTTCCAAAGAGCGTATTCACCAGATCCACCCCTGTACCCTATCCCTGTAGCCCTGCATTTCCCATGGCCAATCCACCTAGTCTGCATATCTTTGGACTGTGGGAGGAAACTCATGCAGACACAGGCAGAATGTGTAAACTCCACGCAGACAGTCACCTAAGGCTGGAATCAAACCCAGGTCCCTGGTGCTGTGAGGCAGCAGTGCTAACCACTGAGCCACCATACCACCGATTTTCCTATTGTTTCCTATTAAAGCATCAACCAAATGGTTGTGAAAATTTTCTGATTACTACTTAATTTAGCTTGCGTCATGTAGTAGGAGTGGCATTAAGCAAGCCAATATCGCAATGATACAAGTCTGATCAATTAGTCATGAGCAACACGTTGAAGATGGTTCTATTCTGAGAGTGGTTGCTTGGATTCACCACTAGGATAGCTGTGAGATGTTATGTTTGATCTTGCTGTCCCAGCGTTAACAGGAGAAAAAAGCAATTTTTAAATGCAGGGATGGATATCAGCAGCTGGGCTGCATTGCTTACACCATTAAATGACCTCAAAGACCCATTGCCTAGACTTCCAAATATAAAATGATCACTTGTGTGGCATATTGGATGCCTGTGTGAGGTAGTGGAACCACATCCCAGCAATACCCGGAGGAGAAAGGCAACAGATGGGCACAGGAATTATGCCAAAGAAAGCATAGCTACAATTGCTGAACTAGAAGAAGCTTTCACACTAGAGACAGAAAAATGTGGTTTTGGCTGCAAAGCTCAAGCTCCTTGACTCTAACCGTCACTTTTTCTGCCCACACACACCAAAACCTTGATGAACTTTTCTATAAATGTTTTTCCAATGCAGTGTCAAGCGAAGCAATTGCTACATGGTGTGGGCAGGAGAAAGCACAAGCCCTGGACAGAGCCGTAATAACAATGGGCTGGAAATAGGCTGCCTAGTGGACACTGCCAGTGGCTTATTGACATTCACAGCCAATGGCAAGGAATTAAATACTTATTATCAGGTACGTCAAATTAAATGGAAGGAATAATCTGCCTTTTCTTCCTGCATAGCAACAGGAGTAGGCCATTCTGCACCCCCGTCACCAAATTATCAAGCAGATAAAGCCTAATCTGTACCACAACTCTCCATTTACCCACTCTCGTTCCATATCCTTTGATATTCTTGTGTTATGATCCTAGCTGATGTTACTATTAGACAATTTGGATTCCAGAATGAAACCTGCCTTGATAGAGTGTATTTTGTTTCTTTCTAATTCAATACGTAAGTGCATAAGGCAGCTGATACAGTTTTAATAATAAAACAAAAGTTTATGATGCAAGAGAATGAAAAGTAAAATAAGCTATCTACGTTCTGACGAAGGATCACCAGATCCAAAATGTTAACTCTGATTTCTCTTCACTGATGCTGCCAGACCTGCTGAACTTTTCCAGCAACTTCTGTTTTTGCTCCATCACTTAACAATTAAGCAACATTCCCTATAAAATCTTGTCAGTTGACCTAACCTCTTGTTTTCAGTTCTAGTCCAGTGAGCTGTAAAGCATTTTTTGTTTGATTCACACAGCTGAGATCTTAACCAAACATAACTGGTGTGGAAGTTTTCACAAACTGAAGTCCTTACACTGAGGTAATGGATTCCCTTAACTGCTCTGAAGATACTCCTCTGTCTAGGAGAAACTATTCTTGCTCTGACTTCAGTCACGTCTTCTTTGAAATGAACTCAAGTGCTTTTAACTAGTTTTAAAATAAAACTTGCCCATCCTTTCTTCTGCTGAAATAAAGTCTTTTTGTTTTCTTCCTTTGGTATACCCCACAGTATAAACAATCTTCCTTTAAACTCTTAAGATGCTTTCAGTCACCAGCTCTATTACACATACTGATTTAAGATCATGGTTCTGAAAAAAATCACTAATTTAGTTATTAAAACCCTTCACAAAAATATAGACCAGCATTCATTAATTACTAGTTTGAAATCCAAACACATGTATGTATATCACATCTTGCATCACACTTGCCGTAATTTACCAGTGATATTCACTTTGATCTGTATCCTTTGAATATATTCAACTACCAAAAATCTATAAATTTGAGTTTTAAAAGTTTCTTTTGTTTCAGGATTTGCAGATATTTAGGAAAAGGCTCCAGTTTTCAAATACTGTTTGTGTAATAGTCTGTTTCTTGTTTTAGTTATTTAATTCTACTGCTTTACATGATATTCTTTGGTGAAGCAGATTATTATTTGGCTTTTCTATTAAGATACCAGGCAATATACAAAAGGCTCTTTTTCATTCAACCAGCATTTGTTGCCCATCCTTAGTTGCCCTTGAACTGGGAGGCTTAGCAAGGTCATTTCTGAGGGCAGTTAAAAATCACCCACATTACTATTGGACTGACACTGCTGTGCCTGTCCTTTCTGAAAGGACTTTCTGAGCCAGATGGATTTTTACAACAATCAATAATAGTTAGCACTGGGGTGGATCCTATGCATTCCAGCAGTGGGCTTGGAAACAGAGGAACTCAGAAAATCCAGCTGGTAGCTTTTCTGCCACCTGTTCTAACTTGTCTGAAGCTTTATTGGGGGGGGCGAGGGAGGAGGGGAGCATCGGACAGCCTGCCTGTCCTTCAGCCCATTAAGTGGCCGTGTATTTTGAATCTGACAAGAGCAAGGCCCATGCCATGTGAGATAGCGGCAGCTTTAACTGTGTGGGTTTGTTTTGGACAAGTGGAAGGAGGGATAACCTCCTGTGCAGGTCCCCTGACCCCACCGGGGACAGTCTCTTTACAAATCTGATATAAAAAGCAAGTATCATTAATGGACACCAGGAAAATGACCATAAACAGTTTGGGTTTATATCCACTGGAGTTTGGGCACTCATCTTATTAAGATATCTAAAACCCTGAGGAAAATTGACAGGACGGATATTTAAAGGATTTTTCCTCTAGTGGGAGAGAGTAGAACTAGGAAACTCAATTTCTTATTTTCAGGGTCTCCTTTTAAGACATAGATGAGGAGAATTCTTTTCTTGGTGATTTTTCTATGGTTTCTTCTGTACAGAAAGCAGTGGAGGCTGTGTTGAGTTAAATAGGTTTTTGATAGACATGAGAGTCAAGCGTAAGGGTAGAGTCAGACATAAAAGTGGGTTGAGGCCACAACATAATCAGCCATGATCTTATCTCATGGTGAAGGACAGTTGAAGGACTGAAAAGCTTACTCCTGTTTTTATGCACTGTGTTCATATGAAAATACTAGATTATAATAGAAACCGGCCTAGTTCGCTAATGAACAAGAGGGAACATGCTGTCCATACTAGGTAACTCCAGACCCATAGCAACGTTATTGACGCCCCTCCAAATGGCCAGCTCAGTCCTACCAAAGCTGCTGCAGTGGGTCACAGATATACAAGAAGGTATCTCACGGCCACCTTCTCAAGCGCAGTTGGGATTTGGCAGTAAATGCTGGCCTCATCAGCAATACCCAGATCCCTATAATGAATGAATTTAAGACACATGAACATGTATTCACTCCCAGGCAATGACATATTTTGAGTTACATCATTGTAGGTTTGTGTAGGGGCTAAGTGGGCACGTAAGAATTCAATTCAGTCATAGCATCTGACTCCAGAAAATAAGATTTTTAATTAATATAATTTTTTTCTTAAAGAACTGAAGTTTTTGTGTGGTGAGAATATCTGACACTTTTATAGAAGCCTATCCTAGATATCCTGGTTATCCGAGTGTCACTAGAAAGTGCATTAAGGTAATGAGAATTTTCTTACGACACAGCATTTTGTTACACAAGAATACTTGATGGAGTTCGATGTCTGCGATTGGCCAATTGAATTTTCCAAAATACCTTTTGGAACTAGTTATAACAACAGTGGGAAATCAAGTCACCAGTGAGTGTCCTTCTGTATACTAGGTGCATTGGCCTTATCTCTACAATGGATTTTTGCAGTGTAGGCTGCATTAAAATTGTGGCATGCATTGCAATTTTTAAAAAAATTTAAAATGAAGTACACATTCTAGTGATGAATGAGTGGGTGGTGTGGACTGCATTTTGAGTTATTCATCATCTGGATTATTGTGAGCTCATTGCTAATTTATAATTCTAAGTAGGTTCCACTTTAATGAACACATCACAAAGATAATTGTTGGAAAATGCAGTATTAATTTGCTTGAGCACTTATGGGTATGTCCAGTGAAATACTGACATGCATGTATTAACCACTTGAAGTGAAAGGATTCAGTTGCCATAATGAACTCAGACTGACAAGATAGAAAATTAGGTTGCATTTCTTAGCGATTGACAATAACCGCTCAGTTTCCTCAGCAATTATATGATCTTCATTCTGTGTTTAGGTGGAACCAAGCACAAAACTGTTTGCAGCAGTATTTGCACAAGCCACAAGCCCCAATGTGTTCCAATTTGAACTCGGAAGAGTTAAGGTAAGTAACGCTTGAGTAAAGTTCTTAAGTTTTATTCTGAGACCAGGGTTAGTTAACGATGTCCTAGATCAGCAACAGCTACAAATACTGCAGATTTCTTTGTGCTGATGTGTTGTATTGTCTTTGTGTGCTTCGTCCATACGACCAGAGAGAAAACACTGTCTAATTCTGTAGTCACAAATTCATCTCCAATGTGTGAAAATCACATAAAAGTGTAAATTCACATAGGAGACAATTGGTTGACTGGCTTCAGTGTCTTTTGATGACATGTTAATTTTGGTTCTGACTGCCTGTGTTTGTTGTTTCGTTTCACACAGTTGGTCAGCCAATAGTCAAGTGATTACTGTAGTCTTTCTAACTCCACGTTTTTCCTCTGTGAAACCATTTCAGTCCATGGATATTCCAGGTATTGAAGTCAAATGATGAAATTCGAAAATCAGTAGTCAATATTTTATTACTATGTAAAAAAGACATCATGTGAAGTGCACCATTTTATAAGCAAATCTCTCATCTAAGAACATATTCAAAACATCTGGTAGCCGGTTAAAGCAGAGCTTAAATTACATTAGTCAAATCACCACAAATCCCTTCTCTGGTATAATCTATTTCACTGGTTCAAAATATTAACTGAGCAGATAAAAAGGGACTAGGCTGACATCTAACCTCTGGTATTATTATTGTGATAATTAATTGAGAATAAAGGGAGGACATTTGCTTTGTTAATAACATTTCAAGTTCATATGAGCAGGAGTTGGAAGAGATCTTTTTCATTTCCCCAGCCCGTTCTGCTATTGAATGAGGTCATAACTAACCTGTGACTTAATTCAACATGCCTACTTTTGCCCCATGTCCCTTAATACCTTTGGCTAATATAGAATGATCAATTTTAAATTTTAAAATAATGACTCACCCAGCACTGACTGCCATTTCCAAGAGAGAGTTCCAAACCCTACCATACTTTTACGTGAAAGGGCATTTCCTAAATTCAGTCCTGAAAGCACTGCTTCTAACTCTTAGGGCTGAATTTTCACTCCCTATAAAGCCAATCTAGGTGGACGATGGAATTTTCATTCGGAATGGCGGGGTTCCTTAGGAGTTGGTTCAGACCTGAAAGTGAATGTAGAGGATGAAGGTGTGGAGGAGGGTGTTAATGGGGCTTTAGCACTGTGCCCAAAGAGACTATCTGTCATTGCAAAAATCTAGGACTTTGACTCTTTCACCGGTGTAAATAGTTTCTCCTTCTCTACCCTATCAGTTCCCCTTAATATCATGACAGGTTTAATCAAATTACCCTTAGCTTTTTAAAATTTAAATCATAGTTTTGTGATTTGAAATTTTAAATTAAAAGTGAAAAAATGAAATGTTTTAACTTCCTCGTTTTATGTACGTGAGAGTGCTTCGTTATGATTGGCTCCTCATCATTCTTGCTGTCACGCTGCTGCTGGCTGGCTTGGGATCCCTTTGAATTGGCATTGCATGTAAACTGCAGGTGGAGAAGAAGAAAATCTGTACCACAGAAGAGGTGGCCAAAATCTTTAGGGGCAGCTTTCTATGAAGTCAGAAGCAAGTACTAATCATTGTACTGCTGACCACAATATCCAAGACACAGTGAATAACTTAAAACTTTGAAGATTCCTCGTTTTTGGCAAAGAACTTACCTCATTCAGAATTGTAATTATCGTGTGGTGGACACTTATTGCAATGTGTGGTTTGAGAGGGACAAATGAAGAATAATTTTGATAAGTAGTACAAATGAAGGTGCATGAAAATACAAATTAAGATTATTGCTACACATTTTACTTTTTAGTAGAATTTCTCCAGACAAAAATCTGGTGGGAACAACATAAGATTTCCTGTTTTGCACTCACTCCAATCTCTATAAAGGAGTTTTCACATTCCCTTGCAGGGTCAATATTGTTAGATAGAAGGAATCTGCAGGTTTAGTCCTGCCAAACTGCAGCATTCTGGAATTCTTGACAATGTTCTGAAGAAGAATCACCGGACCTGAAATTTTAACTGTGCTTTCTCTCCACAATGCTGCCTGCCCTGCTGGGTTTTTCCAGCAATTTCTGATTCTGTTTCTGATTTCCAGCATCTGCAGTGCTTTTTATTCCTAACAATTTATTTTGTTTGTACTGGAGCAATAAATTTTCATCATATCTCTTGTATGTTCAGCACTTGGTCTATTAATTTATTTCAAAGTGGACATTTATAATCAGAATGTTTGATGGCTTTATAATCCATTTCAAAAGATTTTTCACTATTCATTGAATGGTTGTAAAGTGTTTCATTTGTGTAAACCAGCTGTTGTATTTTGAACTACAGTTGACTTAAACTTCTTTGATGCAATCAATGAAGGGAAACAAATTGATCATCACTTCAGCTATTGCAGTGTTTTTGGAAGCAGTAACATTCTTGTTAATTTTAGCACCATCTAGTGGCTGATGCGGGATTATATTGTTCCAATGTTAACTTCCATCAACCTGTTGTAAACAATTGGTTCTGTATGTTGGTTGGGCAGACACTTGTATATCCAACACAATTCTTGATAAGAAAGGCAAGGGGCGAAAGCTATCGGAATAGATGTGATTGTAATGGGATCTTATTGAAGGGCGGAGCAGGCTCAAAGATTCTTGCTTCTAAATCATATGTTTGCAGACGTTACAAGTGAAAATCAGGGCCTAAGGGATTTTATTTTGAATGCCTTCCAGTTCGTGGCCTTGCTGATTTCAGACATTCTATGGTCTGTATAACTATTTCTCCTAATCTACTGATCACTGCTTTACATTAGTAAATTATCAGCTCCTAGCTTTAGAAACAGAAACAAAGGGAGATCAAGTTGGTCTATATGTGCAGAAAAATTTGAAGGAAGGGACCACAATGACCAGGATCAGCTGAGCCTTCAGGACTCAACATTTAGTTTAACAGTTTCAGAAGTTGAATACCCTCCTCCATTCTCATTACTCACTCCCACACCCCTAGGTCCTGTTTTATATGGGTTGCTCCCGACACAGCGAACCATTTTCAATCATTTGCATTCCTTGTTAGCACTCTACCCAGCATTTATATCCTTCTCAGCTAATCATCAGCAAACCCTCTGTTTGCCTCTCCTTCTTTCTCTCGCTTTCTCTCTCTCTGTCACTAACTTTCCCCAGCTGCTTTCAGTTCTGATAAAAGGTCACTGGATTTGAAACATTAACTCTTGTTTCTCTTTCCACCGATACTGCCAAACCTGCTGAGTTTTTCCAGCATTTGTCTCAGATTTCCAGTATCTGCAACTCTCTGTTTTATTTTATTCAATTATTTTAACTTGCTCTTCTTGCACTTTACAAACAATATTACCCTTACTACCTCAAAATTTACTGAAGATCAGCTCTAATAGCTGCACTTTGGTAAATTAAACTGGAATCATTATGAGTTTCATTTGATCAGTCGACATCTGAAGTTCACTGTAACTGTGCTGGGACTTCAGGACTGTCCTGTTATGAAAGGATTGATGTAATTGTTTCCATCATGACCAGCACCCACCTGCATTTCTTTTATTTATTTCCAGAATGTAATGCCCCTGTCAGCTGGATTGTTTAAAAGTGAGCGCAGGAATCCAACACCACAGTGTCCTCCTCGGCTTCATGTGCAACACCTTACCCCTGTGCTGTGGAGCAGGGTGCCAAATGAATTCTTAAAGGTGGACATCAGTCGTGTTAGTGACCGCCATGGATGGCAGGTGCAATGTACAGAACCATTAAGATTCATGTCTTTACATATTCCTGAAGAGAACAGGTTAGTGTCTAGAAAACTTACCATGGCAGCATTCTGTGAACAGTTAATACCCATGAACTCTAATTGTGGCCAAAACTGCACATCACATACGTATTTTTATTCACACTTAATGAGTTCTGATAACCGCAATCCTTTTTTTTGGCATGCACAGTCAGAAAACCATGCTGAGCATCTAAATGAAAAAGAAAGTCCAAAAGGAGTGAGCACCATAGATCAGCACATGTCTTACATGTTGATGTCTACTTTTAAGTGCTGACTGTCAGTGCTTTTTTAATATTTAAGAATAGGTTAGATTAAATGTTGAAGGACATGGGAGACGTGAAATATGGGAGCAGGGTTCACACAAGGGATAGGGAGACAGTTCATGTTGGGTATTAACACCAACATGGGCCCACTGGCCTGAATCTGTTATAATTTTAATGTCATTCTTGTCATTGTTGATTAGCAATGTCCACAGCAGCACTATATCTGTTCATCTGCACATTTAGTTCTCCCTGGGCTGGATAGCCTCAATCTAAGATTTGTTATTCAACATAAATCTGACCTTCTTTAAGTACTGCAATTTAAAAAAAACACGAAAGGTTTTGCATGTGTATTATGATTAATGAAAACATTAACCTTTCCTTTGATTCTTTGTGATATGTAGGGCTTTGGATATCTTGGAACTCACAGAGCATGAGGACCTGCTGAAATTTCACTACCATACCTTGCGTTTGTATTCCGCAGTTTGTGCTCTGGGTAATAACCGAGTGGCCCATGCCCTGTGCAGCCATGTGGATGAGTCTCAATTGCTGTACGCGATAGAAAATAAATATGTACCTGGTTTGCTGCGGACAGGTTATTATGATCTACTCATTGACACTTACCTTAGCACCTACGCCACTGCTAGGCTGATGATGAACAATGAGTTCATTGTTCCGATGACAGACGAGACCAAGAGCATTACTTTATTCCCGGATGATAACCAAAGCCATGCAGTCCCTGGAGTAGGCCTCAGCACCTCACTCAGGCCCAGAATGCAGTTTTCCTCAGCCAGTTTTGTCACCGTGACTGGGGAGTCTTTCCAATACAGCCCAGAATTTCCGCTGGACATCCTGAAGGCCAAAACAATTGAGATGTTGACAGAAGCCGTGCAGGAAGGCAGTCTCCATGTCCGAGACCCAGTTGGCGGCACCACCGAGTTCCTTTTCGTCCCCCTGATCAAGCTCTTTTACACACTCCTTATCATGGGTATTTTTGGCAGTGAAGATTTGAAGCATGTTTTACAGCTCATTGAGGCCAGTGTGTTTGCTGAAGATACTCAGACGACAGAGGAAAATGAAATGAATGAAAAGGATATAAGTAAAAATGACCAAAAAACGGAAGGAGGTGATGAAGAATTCAAAAGCGACAAAGTTCCCCAAGAAGGTCTACTGCAGATGAAACTCCCTGAGCCAGTTAAACTTCAGGTAGGACTTAAGGAAAATCTTAATCTGAATGTTCATGTACTCATGCTTGTTAGAGGTAACATCTGAATAAGTAGATGCTTTTATTCTACAAACAAGACTGTCAGAAAACTCAACGCTAATTGCATTTTATGCAAAACTTCATCTGCTTGAAATTGTTCTGTGCAGGATTGATAATAAATGCATTAGTATATGTGTATCTTTTGTTTTAATAATATTTCTAAACTATTTATTTTAAACATGTTAGCACTTTTGTTAAAATACTGGAGAAATTTTATGTAAACTTGTATTAATGTATCTATGTCTGATACTGCACAGAGCAATTTAATTTCCTTTGTTTTTAAAAAGGAGAAATAGTTTTCCACAGAATATTGTGATGCTCTGGGATGCACACCTAGTGCTAAAGACTGGAGCGACGTCCATGTAAACATCTAAGAGTAAGCTGGATGGTTAAAGGAAAGAGGATATGAGTGCACATCAGTGCATCTCCTGTGGAGGATAAAAGTCAGCAGGCATAGGTTAGGCTGAATGGCCTCTTTCATGTTGTAATTTGGACTAAATTGCTGTTTTCAAGGAGTCAGATATAGTTCTTATATAGGTAAAGGGATTAAAGGGCATTGGGAGAAATCAGGAACAGGATACTGAGTTAGATGATCAATCATGATTATATTGAATAGTGGAGGAAGCTCAAAGGTTTGAATGGCCTACTCCTGCTTTTGTTTTTTATGTTTCTATGCTTCAAATTTGTTGAATGCCATTTGGATGCTGGCTTTTAAAGTATTTACAGATTTGGGGTGTCACTGGCCAGGCTTATATTAGTTCCTCAAGTCAGCTGAATGGCTTACTCGGACCATTTCATGGGGTTTAAAGGCCAACCATACTGTTGGCCTGCTGATTGGACCAGATTAGGGCATATTTCCCTGAAGGACATTATTCAACCTGATGGCTTTACACAAGAATCCAATTGTTTTGTGATCATTATTGATACTGAGGGGAGAAATTTACTGGGGGTGCGAGGTGGGCAAATGGACAGATTGCCTGTTCCATTGTTCCCCCAACACCCCTGGAAGAAACGTTCTTGAAGCTGATGTATCAATCAGAAGCCTGATCCACGGCCAAAGCGTGCTGCAGATGGGCTAAATGAGCAGATTGTAGGATATACACCCCTCCCCCTCAGGAGTGCAGGGTGAGGTCTTGGGGTTTTACAGGAAGGAGTATTTTGAGGGAGGGAAGGGGCTGGGTGGAAGATGGTTTGGGTACCAGTGTCTGTCAGGAGGATGGCGTGGGAGCAAATGTGGGACATCATCCCCACGATGCATTTTTCTGATGACTTGCCCCTCACCTTAGTTCATGTAGGCATTTGAAAGCTGGCTGGCCATGTCTGTTTGATGGTCCATGCCAGCATGTTAATGGGGCCAATTGAGATTTTTCCAAGTTTGATTGACCCTTAATTATTTAATTCCATACGAGGGCAAGGGGGCAGCTGGATCGGCTCCCATCCCCCTCCCAATTTGACATGCTGTCCCACTGAAAGAACAGCCAGCAAGGGGGCATGTAATATCCAGTCCTAGCCTTCTATTCCAGATAGTGTAAATTCTGTAGCTGCTGTGATGGGATTTGAGTTCATGTCTCCAGATCATTAATCCAGGCCTCTGGATTACGAGTGCAGTACTAGTACTGGATTGATAGTACTCATTACCAGTATTAGGATTCCAGTACAGCTACAACACCACCATCTACCTGATAACCTGGAAAATCACCTGGATATGGTCTGCCCACAAAAAGCAGGATAAGTCCAACTTGACCAGATTATTGCTCCGTTAGTCTACTCATCAGTTATCAGTGATGAAATGTGTCATTAACAGTTCTATCAAATGGCTCGTATTCTGCAGCAACCTCTTACTGATGATTAGTTTGGATTCTGTTAGGGCTATTCAGTTCCTGATCTCTATGCCTTGGTTCAAACGTGCACTCAATGCTGAGCTCCAGAGTCTCGTAAGAGTGACTGCCCTTGACGTTAAGGCAGCATTTGACGAAATATGGCCTCAAGGAGCTGTAGCCAAACTGATGTCAGTCAAAAACCAGAGAAAATTCACCATTATCTGGATCCATACCTGGTACAACCTAGGCTCTGGTTATTGAAGGTCAATCATCTCAGCCTCAGGGTGGTCACCTAACCACCATCAGCTGCTTCGTCAATGGCCCTCACATTGTTATGAAGGATTCATGTTAAATATTTTTTGTGGATTTGTGTTCAAAGGATTTTAAGAACCTGGATTTATTTTTAAAGAGATCAACGAAAGGTTTTTCAAACAAGTCATTTGTTGGTATATGCATGGTTCGTGACTACTGCTTGTTTACTGGAGACGACGTCCTCGGGTTACGACTGTTCAGGCTCCAGTTTCTGCTTTGGGTATTGTTTTGAATGGTTTGGGCAAAGTCTGTTGAAAGAGAGATGCTTCCCAGCTCAGCTCTCCTATTTCTGTTTCTGGAAAAGAACACTTGTTGTGACTCCAGAGTAGTGTCTGGAGCACTGGTCCATCTGTTCTTGCATGGGAAACCTTTGAAGAGACCCTATTGATATTTCTTGAATGACTACATTTGCAAAGGTCCCTTGAGCAAACTTATTGTGTTCAGCAACATCTGTCTTTTTGTACCAATGCATTGGATTGATAGCCATCTGAACAAAATTGGGACGGTGAGTGGTTTAAAGCAGAACCTGCAGGTGGTGGTGTTGCAGTGCATCTTACCTTATGAAACCTTGTCCTTTTTGCCTTCAAGATGTAAGAAATGTTGGTGAAAAGTGTTCTATTTTTTTAAAAAGTGTAACTGCGTGTGTGTGTGTGTGGGTGTGGGTGTGGGTGTGGATGTGGTGTGTGTGTGTGTATATATTTGGAGCTGCTCCTGAGACTCAAAATTGTAAATGATGCACTACAGGTCATGAGGTAGAAGTATTTCAATTCATTTTCATTTTCAGATGAGTCTAAAATATTTAGCTCAGTGTATTTGAAGTTGAGATAATATGATTTATTAAATAAGTCCTTTTTCTCTCAAAAGTTTGTAAGTAAATAAAAACAACACTGAAAATCATGAAAGCTCATTCTCCAGCACATTCCAAACCCACACCTTTTACCACCTAGAAGGACAAGGAAGGAAAATGCATGGGAACACCAGCACCTGCAGCTTCTGTCTCAAACCACTCACCATCCGAATTTGGAAGTTTGTTGATGTTTCTTCATTGTTGCTGGGTCAAAATCCTGGACTCCTTCCTTCTGTGTGCACCAACACTACATGAATTGAAGTGGGTCAAGAAAGATGCTAACCACCACCATCTGAAGGGCAATTAGAAGTGAATAATAAATGCTCTTACCAGTGATGGCCACATCCCCAGAACAAAATAAAAATTCAAAAATTAACTTGCAAATAGCCTTCATTGAGTTCTTGCACGGTTAACAGCAACTACGCACTTTTTTATTGAAGGTAGCCATGATGTGGAGGTGCCGGTTTTGGACTTAGGTGGACAAAGTCATAAGTCACTCGACACCAGGTTATTGACCAACAGATTTGTTTGAAATCACAAGCTTTCGGAGTGCAGCCCCTTCATCAGATGAAGTCACTTGGACTTATAACCTGGTGTCGTGTGACTTCTGACTTTTTTATTGAAGATATTTTTACTTTGTAAATAGACACCAGTAAAGCAAAAGTATCTGCCATGACTTAGATCTTTGCTGGCACAACTCTCACGTGTCAAAGTTATGTTAAATAGATATTGGTATTGTCTGCATATCAGGAAAGCCTTGTGCATCCTCCTCCCTGAATGTACTGAAATATAAGTAAGCTGTCAGTGCAGGATGTGACTTAATGCTTAGTAACGGAAAGGAACACTGTGCCCAGGATTCAGGAGAGGCTAGGAGGCCAATGGAAAGCAAAGGGAGGCCTATTGGGTGGGATTGAACAATTAATCTTTGGCAACCACTTGATTGGTAATTCATTAATGCCCCATGGTCATGCTTCGGTAGATCAATCAGCTTGCTACAAAGTTGATAATTGAATGCACAGGATCTGACAATATTTGTTTAAGAACTGGGATTGTCATAACACATCTGAGTAGCTGTGACACTTCAACTCAAGTAATTACTGATTTATGCAAAGTTGATGCACCTTAGTTGATCTGATTATTGAGCCAGATTCTGGCGTGCCAGTAATAATGACCTGTTCAGCACTATCTGCTTGTGAATGTCAAGGAGATTCAGCATCTTTTAGAATGCACATTGTAGTGAACAGATCCAAAAGTTAAAATAAATTGATCAATCCTACACCGGAGGGTTTGTTACTTCAAACAGCAAGTGCAGAAATGGTGTGAAGTTGGCTGATCACCTACTAATTGTGAAATTGTTACCCTTTAAAATTTTAAACCATATTTCCGGGAGTAAGGAGCCTCCTCGCAATTCAGTACTTACTGAGGAGGTCCATACCAGAAAAGTTAAAGTGGATTGACGTGAAACACAAAACCTTTTCACCATCTGATAAATCTACAATTGGCAGTTTTTGCCCATACTTTTTTGTAGTGCTTGTCAGAATTGAGAATAAAGGCATTTTTATTCTTCCTTAACATTTATTTCCTGTGTAAATTTGAAGGTTTTCCTTATGGAGTTACAGAGTCATAGAGCTGTACAGCATGGAAACAGACCCTTTGGTCCAACTTGTCCATTGCCAACCAGATATCTCGAATTAATCTCGCCCCATTTGTCAGCATTTGGACCATATCCCTCTAAACCCTTCCTATTCATGTACCGATCCAGATATCTTTTAAATGCTGAAGTAGTGAATTTCCAAGCAAATCAAACTTTAATGTCATATTTTTAACTTTATGTGTGTGTATAACATTCAAATGAAGCATAAAGATTCTGTAGTTTATACACATATCAAAAAAATGCAGGCAATTTCAATCAACTTTGGTGGCTTTTTCTGCTAAGATAAGTGTCCTGTGTAAAATGGTAATGGAGTACATAACCATTGTTCTGCAAGTCTTCTATTAAATGTTTATGAAGCTCCTTGCTGTGGTCAAGCTTGTTGCTCTGATGCATTCGGACAAATCTTCTAATCGCTGGATTACTGGAGCCCTGATGTGTGACTGAGTTGAAGTTTACAAAATTATGAGAGGCATGGATAGGATGGATATTTGGAGTCTTCCTCCCAGGGTAGAAATGTCAATCGCTATGGGAAATAGGTTTAAGGTAGAAGGGAGTAAGTTTAAAGGAGAGGTGGGAGCTAAGTTTTTACACTGAGGGTGGTAAGAGCCTGGAATGCGCTGTCAGAGGGTGTGGTGGAGGCGGATACAATGGCAACGTTTAAGAGTGATCCTGACATGTATATGAGTAGGTGGGCAATAGAGCAATACAGACCACATAGAGACAGAAGTTTAGTTTAGAAAAGCAGCATATGTTGGTGCAGTCTTGGTGGGCCGAAGGTGTACTATACTGTTCTTTGTTCTTCATTTTGCGCATTGGGATCCTGCGGAGGTCTTGATTTATAGGTCTCCGTGGGAATTTCCTGAGAAATTTCAACTTCTTCAAACCTTTGCAAATGTCTTCTACTCTGAGCCAGAGCTGGAGACATGGGAGATGGCTGCAGTACTTACTTTGGTAGTTATCCAGGAAATAATAGTTAGATTAAACTTCTTTAACACCTGAGCAACTCCACGACGAACCCCTCCAGACTACCACCTTTGACCCTGATCACCACCCTTGATTCTGATCAACACCCTCCAGATCACCCAACCACTGACTATTCCTATGACCCAATTAACTCTGACCTGACCAAACTAGCCCCTGACCAACCCACTATCAGCCCCAACCTGACCGAATTACATCCTGACCCTGATTAACTGCTTGACCCAACCCAACTATCCCCTGATTATCAAGCTGTCACTGACCTGATTACCCATCTACTACTCATTTGCTTGCCTACCCATCTATCCAGCTCAACCACCTGCATTTTCACTCATTCACTCGTCCATCCATTCACCCTCTTAACCATTCACCCTATGGCATCCAGTGCTGTAAAAAGGGGTTGTCTTTTGTGCTGATCCGATTCACAGATCTCTGCATGGATTCCTGCACTGAACAAGTCCTTCTGAATCTTATTCAGAAGTCAGACCCTGCTAAATGTAACCAGATGCATATGCAACAGTTCTTATATTGTTCAGAAGATTTGGGCCAATATATTGTAGATGAAGTGACAAAAGCTGTTTCATTGAAGACTTGGAGATGTGTGACCTAAAATAACTCTTGTTATTCACTGTTGATATGAGCCTTTTAATATGAGCTAATTATAGATTTACCACACAAAATACAGTTGATGTTAGTTCTCCTGCACTCTCTCTGATCATGTTTGCAAAGTCTCTGTATGAATGAATTTTTCAAGAAATGGATATTGATCAAAAATATGAGATTGAGGAAATGGAGCTTCATTTTACGTCATGAAATGCAGGTTAAATCACTGGTTGCCCTCATGTAGGAAGTCTGTTTTCTCTCGTTGCTACTGCTGTAGAACTACAAATGTGTTCTTTGTATGTATGCTAATGATCTTTCTACAAAGAGCAAAGACAACAAAGCATTCTGTATAGCGAATTCCCTATCTCAGATTCAGCATTACTGTTGAGAAGAGGGCAGGGATAGATTCCAGGTTAACAGTGATATTCTCAGAGTCATTGCAAATTATTGTTTTCATTGACAGTACAGTACATTGAGAAATAGAAAATAATCAAGTGAGAAAGCACAAAGGATAACTTACTATAAATCACTAAACGGGTGATGGAAAAATTGAGATGCCAACAGTATTTGTGGTTTTCTGGGTGGTCATTAAGAACTAGCAACACAGAATGGACATCAGTGTACTTCAGAAATCTCACAACCCATCTCATTTACCTTTTCAAATTTACTAATGATTTAAAATGAAAACAATTAATTGCATCATTAACAAGGAATTATAAAATTATAAAATCATGAGCAGCATAGGTAAGATGAATAGCAAAGGTGTTTTCCCAATGGTGACGGAGTTTAAAACTAGGGGACATATTTTTATGGTGAGAGGTGAAAGATTTAAAAAGCACACGAGAGTGGTTCGTGTGTGAAGTGAACTGCCAGAAGATTTGGTGGTTGCAGGTGCAGTTACAATATTTAAAAGTCATTTGGATAAGTAAATGATAGGAAAGGTTTGGAGGGATATGGGTCAAGTGCAGGCAAGTTGGGTTAGTTTAGTTTGGGGACATGGTTAGTGTGGACTGGTTGGACTGAAGTGTCTGTCTCCATGCTGTGTGACTCAATGACTTTATTATTAATAATCCAGAGCTTCTCTTTAAGATGGATTTTAAGCTACTGTGCAAGTCATTATATGGCAGTTACATAAAAAAGAATAATGTGCAGTGAACTACTTTTTTAAATAGCTATCACCAAGGAAAGAGATGCAGGCAATATTAACACTATCACTTTCTCAAGGGAAACTTGGATGTGCAATAAATACCAGTGACACTCATAACCCTTGAATGAATAAAATAAAAACATGGCACAATCTAATGTAATGGCTTCTTTTTCCCCAGATGTGCCACCTTTTGCAGTATTTGTGTGACTGTCAACTACGACACAGGATTGAAGCCATTGTCGCCTTTTCAGATGATTTTGTACTAAAGCTTCAGGACAACCAAAGATTCCGATATAACGAAGTGATGCAGGCATTAAACATGTCTGCTGCATTGACTGCCAAGAAAACGAAAGAATTCCGATCACCTCCACAGGAGCAGGTAAGAAAACCAACAATGGGGTGAGTGGATAGTTGCTTACTGACTTTATACAATGCAGATTTTTCATGACTGTCTTCATTTTGAAGCCTTTAAGGAATCTTATTCTTAATACTATTATCTTGCTGATATTAGACACAACTTTTGCATTATCTTAATGTTTAAAGTGCCAACTTCTTTATCTCTGTCCTTCTAAACTTTTGAGCAATTGCTGTCAACTGTTTGTCAATTGGTCTAAATGGAATAAAAGGTCCAGTCATTCTGTTTACTTCACACACTTGTTTTTATATCATACCAGCTTACCATCCAATGAGGTTGTTCAATTATTACCGTGTTAAGTGGTAAACTGATTACCTCATAACCTACTTGCTGGTCACACCTTTGTGTCCCACTTCTCAGAAGAATGTAAAAGATCCCATTACATTATTTGAAGAAAAGCAGAGGAGTTCTCCTGGTGTCCTGGCCATCAGTTGTTGCTCAATCAAAAAGATAACTAAGATTGCTTGCACTTGTGTAGTGTTTTTCACAACCTCAGGGAAAAGGGAGTTCACTGTACTATCTTGGCCTATATTTATCCTCAAGCAACACCTATATAAAACATATTTGGCTATATTCTCAGTCTTTTTGTCAGACCTTTCTGGGCATAAAATGGCTGCCACATTTCCCATTGAGCATACTTTATTGGTGGTAAAGCACTTTGAGGTGTCCTGAAACCATGAGAAAATGATATGTAATATCTGAAGAGTTTTTGAAGATGGGTCACTGGACCCAAAACATTAAATCTGCTTTCTCTCCAAGACTCTGCCAGACCTGCTGAGTTTTTCGAGCAATTTCTGATTATGTTTCTGATTTCCAGCATGAGCAGTTCCTTGGTTTTTTTGATTTGTAATATCTTTCTCTTTTATCTTTTCTGTATAAACTTCAGGGAATAACTTCAGTATCATGGGCCAAGTAATCAGTAGTAAGACAAATGGTGGAATTTAACGTTACTGAGCAGGGGTATCGCCCCACTAATTCTCCAACTAGTGGGAGTCTCGTGTCAACTTTGTTGGAGAAGGTCCAACAGCATTAAATGCTGAACTGGCCAGTGTTGGGCCTTCTTTTGGATCAAGGCCAAGGGCAGAAATCTTCTCCTCTGTATCATTTTCACCCCCCGCCCCCCCGCCCAGAGCAGCCAGCTAATCTGAGACTATCCATTACCTGCCCATGCCACTGCGAGTGCTAAAATCTGCCAGAGGCTGAGAATTGCAGAGGGACCAACACCTTGGGAGGGATTCACTGGGTTTGGGGTGTGCGGGGTGTTTGTGTTCAAAAGAAATGGCATGTGGATGGCTCTCAGCCAGCTCCCAATTCCTGTTGCTTCTTCTCCTGGTTAGACACTGAGCATTTCTGGACAAGGAGCAACCTCATCCTAGGAGCTGCAACCCAATTTCCTTTTCAGGCATCCTGCACCAGTGAGATGAAGCCCTTAAGTCAGAACTATAAGTTCTGAGAGGGAAAGCTTTCCAGATTTAAAAAGACTTAGTTAGGCCTCCAAACCCACCACAAGCCAGGGATGGGGGCATTAAATTTTGGTCAGCACACTGATTAGGCACCCAATTTGGGGCAGTAGTTGGACATTTCTGAAATCTTAAGTATTTCCAAGGTTATTTGGGGTTGGGAAAGTCAATACATGAAATTTTCATCCTGTTCTTAAACATTCAATGATTAATCTCACGTTGCTTGCCTTCCCAAGCTTGTTGTTGAAGGTCAGATTCTAGGATATCTGTGTGCCATGCTAGTGTCAACTTCACTACCACACTGTACACTCATCTCAGGGTCTGCTGGGAACAGTGAGAATACTTGTTTTTGAAGCTGAGAATCAGGCAAAGAATGTCTTTATTAGATCATACAAATCTGGCTGTTCCTCGGTGCACGCTGGTGATGCCATACAACTTTCTTGCTGAAAATATAGGGAACATGGATCTGCAGATTCAAAACCAAAATGCTGAAGTCCTTTCTAAATTGAGCCTGTTCCAAGTATAGCATTTGGAGGAAGGACAACAAATATGCAGATGACTGTGAAACAGCAGAAAGTCTTGAAGATTTCTACATATCCCCTACGCAGAAACGTCCCAGGATTGTTTCAGATGGAGGAAACGATTGCTAGTTCAAATGCACGATTTTTTTGAAAACACTGCTTCTTAATTTATACAGTATTGTGGCATTGTTTATATCCCAACAATAAGACAGCTTGGCCAAAAGTTCAATAATTTTTTTTTTGTTTCCAGATTAACATGTTGCTGAGTTTCAAGAATGACAGGCGAGAATGCCCCTGCCCTGTAGAAATCCGTGAAGAGCTGTTGGATTTCCATGAAGACCTCATGGCACATTGTGGTGAGTTTGACATGCTGGGCAGAATTCATGTATCATGTCAGAGGCAGGATCGGGAGGCAGAAAGGCAGGAAAACCAGCGTCAGAGGTGACCTGTTTCGTTGGTGGCATGTTCCTGTCTCCTGCCCATTTTTGGCTGGTTGGGGAGTTGATGGCCCATTATTATAATTAAAAGACAATTAAGTTCATTGGCCAACTGGTAGCAGACCTTGTTGGCATGGGCGTAGTGGGTGAAATGATTGTTTGTTTGCTGGTGGTGCTCCTCCTGTGTTTTAAACATCCATTCCACAGCCCCCCTCAATTCTCACACTCTTTCACATTTACCTACTTCCACTGGTAGGGCTGCTGATGTGTCACTGCTCGAGGGCCTCCTACACTCAGCCTCCCATGTTCTGTCCTTAGATCTGTTCTGGGCAGCTATGAAATTGGCCATCTCCACAAAAAGCACCTTCTCGTGTTCGCACAGGCTTGTTTGGAGTTCCTGATCCACATTTCCTCCCAACAGCAATATTAGGCCAAACACAAAAACAAAATTCTACACAGCTTTGCATGTTAACAAAAAGTCGAGAGGAGCAAGGCCTGATTTGTATAATATGTGAACTAATGGTTTCTGCATTAAACTACAGTGCTATATGCAAACCTCGGCAGTAAAATGTCATGCTGTGGGAAAAATACAATCAAACCACAATGAGTACAGTGAATTATCAATGAACATTACTAGCATGTTTTTTTGTTGACAAAATCTTTTAATTGCTTCCAGCAATTATAACCAGAGTTACTGAGTCATTGCAATTATCTATTTAAAAAAATGCAGTTCAAGTTTGAAAATTGCAGTTGGTTATATTTTCCTCTATTAAACTCAAATTTCACCATCTGCCATGGTGAGATTTGAACACACATCACCAGGACATTAACCTGGGGTCCTGGATGACTAGCCCAGTGACGCTACCATCACACCACCACTTAGTGATACACTCTCTCAACTGCTGCCTCTGGATTGAGGAGGTGTTGGATTTTGTCAAATTTCGGACAAGGTGCTTGGTCAGTCATTGCTTCTGGTCAAGACAGGGTCAAGGGTCGTTTGGAGTGCAGGAATAGTTTGGGCTTATAAGTGGCAGAACTGATTGCATGTTTGGCACCTAGCTGGACTGTTCAGGGAAGTTAATTCTCGCATTGGGTGTACTTGTGAAACCAGAAAACGTATCAGACAATACCTACACTTAGTTAACATTGTATGAACTGAAACAATCAGTTTCAGATGGAAAATTCTAGCAGCTGGTTATTGACAAGGTGAAGGCATTTTATTGACAAAATGTTTTTAATCTTTTGACTACCTTGTCAGTAAACCATCCTCCACTGTTACATAACTTCCTTATTAGAATTAATTATCAGATTTAAAATAAATCAATATAAAGCAATTTCACAAAGGGAGCCCTTCACTGAGGTCTGTTTTCCAAACGCTATTGATTTAAATGGGATTGCAGGTGCTGAAGAGAAGTCACAATTCTTTTTTCAGGCATTGAACTCGAAGAAGAAGAAGCGAATAATGATGACAGTGATTCTACAATCAGAGGGCGACTTATGAACTTGGTAGAAAAAGTGACCTACTTGAAGAAAAAGCGGGAAGAGAACCCGGTGGAACAGGAGACAAAGAAGCCCAGTGAGTATTTGTTTCTGAAGTGCATTAGAAGTGATTTCCTTTAGATTTGATGATTCCAGATCACGAGTCACCCTTTTAAAGCATACTTTATTCCTCTTCTCTACACCCTAAATATTCTGGATCTTTCTAACTGTACCTTCAGAAATGAACACTTATTTAGCAAAATTCTTAACAATCAGTCTCTCATGGTAAAACTGCAGGTGCTGGAAAACCAAAATTAAAAATGGAGAAAGGTGGGAAGTTTCTCAGGTCAGACAACATCCCCACAGAAAGAGAAATCCTGATGAAAAGTCATGGATCTGAAATGTTAACTCTTATCTTTTTGTCCACAGATGCTCCCTGACCTGCTGAGTATCTCCAGCGTTTTCTGTTGTTATTAAATATTGTTGGTTACAGAACAACTACCTGTTGCCCCCAAGACATACCTGCGCTGATTGTTCAGTTTTCCTCCATTTTGAACACCACTTGGAGTAGGCCATAGAAGTGGTAGAGCACAAATTGTATTCTGATAGGGAACTTCGATGTCCACCACCAAGATAGATTCTGTAGTACCACTATTTACTGAGTTGCTTGGGTGCCAAAGGGAAAGGCTTCTAGGCTGGGTTGGTGTCAGTGGTGAAGGAAAAGCAGACTTGATTTCATTCTGAGATAGTAGGAATTGCAGAAGGGTCTAGGCCCGAAATGTCAGCCTTCCTGCTGCTCTGATGCTGCTTGGCCTGCTGTGTTCATCCAGCTCTACACCATGTTATCTCTTGATTTCATTCTAAGTTGTCTGTCAGCATAATTCTTTGCACGCTTACAATTGTTGTATAAGTTGTTGGTGAGGCCGCACTTGAAGTATTGTGTACAGTTTTGGTCACCCTATTATGGTAAAGACATAGTTAAACTGGAAAGTATGCAAAGAAGATTTACGAGGATATTGCCAGGACTAGTAGGTCTGAGTTATAGGGAGAGGTTGGCCAGGATAGGACATTATTCCTTGGAACGTAGGAGAATGAGGGGTGACCTTATTGAGGTATATAAAATCATGAGGGGCATAGATAGGATGAATGCATATAGTCTTTTTCGCTGGATGGGGAATTGAAATATAGAGGGCACAGGTTTAAGGTGAGAAGGGAAAGATCTAAGAAAGACCTGAGGGGCAACTTCTTTACGTGAAGAGTGGTGCATATGTGGAATTCGCTGCTAGAGAAAGTGGTTGAGGCAGGTACATTGGAACATTAAAGAAGAACATTTGGACAGGTACATGGATGGGAAGGGTTCAGAGGATATGGACCAACTGTGGGCAACTAGCTGAGTGGGCGTGGACTTGTTTGGGCCGAAGGGCCTGTTTCCATGCTGTATTACTCTATGACTCTATGATTCAGTAACATTGCTCACGATTGCTGTGCAGGTCATGGCCTAGAGATATTATCTTGATGATCGAGCAGGGAAGGAGATTGTCAGAGAGGGCAGAAAATGGGTGCACTATTTAAGAAATTGTGAAGTCAGTCGGCTGTAAGAGGTTTTAAATTTTTTAAAGGATATGCTTTATAAAGTTGTGAGATAACAAAGATCAGTTGCTGGAGATTGAGTGTCTTAAGATCTGGTCGATAGTTTGCAATATTGAGAAAGCAGTGGCCCCCGAATTTGGATGATGTCAGTAGATTCTACAAGCAAACGGTCAAATTAAACTGAAATAGTCTGCATTCTTTTCTTTAAGACTTGCATTTAATAATACAACTTCGCCATTGTAAGGGGGATTGAACATGAGAAAGTGATGCAAATGTACATATTTGCCAACTTATTTCCAGGACAGTGCTGTCAGGAATTTGTAAATCTGTCTGTTGAAACGAATGTCCAATTTTGATTTTCTTCTTTAGCTACTCTACAGCAGTTGATCTCTGAGACCATGGTACGATGGGCCCAGGAGTCAGTGATTGAAGACCCAGAGTTAGTTCGGGCCATGTTTGTGCTGTTGCATCGGCAGTATGATGGCATTGGTGAGCTGGTTCGTGCTTTACCCAAGACATATACAATAAATGGAGTGTCCGTGGAGGATACAATCAACTTGCTTGCTTCACTGGGCCAAATCAGATCTCTTCTAAGTGTCAGAATGGGTAAAGAAGAGGAGAAGTTGATGATCCGTGGGCTTGGGTGAGTAAACAAAATCTGGTGATGTGCAGCTCAAGTGAAGTTGATTTATAACCTGTGGTGGAAAGAATTATCTTCCTACTGAGCTGCATCGTTTTTCAAATGTTAGTGACTTCTACTTACATTAAAACTTGAAAACAGTTTTTAACATTATTATATGTTTTGGATGTAATAGGAGTGACTAATTTGCCTGCTTGAAATTCCTCCCTCAACTACATTTGGGGTGGAGATGTTAACTTATTTATAGCAGTGGGTTTATGTCTAGAGAAGATGAGTTTGCGACAAATGCATTTGACTTGTCAATCCATCATTCCACGGTATCATTTCAAGACCCCTCTTTTGGATGATTTTGAAAGGATCTTTTATTTGAAAAGCTTTGACGTGACACTATTTGCCACAGAATATTGTAGCCAATTACAACCTAATGTAGTAGTTTTAATATTTCTCACAGTTACTATGCAATATTCCTTTAAGAGACATGCTCATTATATCATCACTGTATCATAGCATGGGACCTGAAGGTATAAAGGTCTCAGGTGCCATCTAAGCTGAGGCCCCTTGAAGTATGGCATACTGATAGAAGCATGATACTAGTTGTAGCCAAATAGCTTAATATTGTTCCAGATATTGAAGTGCCAGAGTCAATTATATATGTACATATATGAAGAGTTGTGATAAATGTCTATTAAATCTTTAAGTACTATCTTAACCACATCTAGCTGAGACCAGCAGAGCTGGAAAGAGGTCATAAAACTGTATCAGCATTCCAAGGAGGACAACTGGCAATAGTCGGTTAAAGAAGAAATTGTTTTGAGATAAGAGTGGAATTTCTCAGGATTGAGTATCTGTAAAATATAATTTGTGTTGTTGTCTTTATAGCCGCTTCTTTACATAAACATGTGTTCCTGTATTAAAGAATCGTGGCAGCCTCCAATGAATATGTTCAATGCCTAAACAACTACAAAAATAAAATATTAATATATAAAACCAGGTTTCACTCTGGGATTTAACTTGTCCTATACTTCCATCATTTGGGATCATAACAATGGCCATGGGAAAATTAGATCACAGATATCCCAAGCTTCTGGAGGCTACACCTGAGCACGTTGGAGATGGAGTGGTGAGATAGATGGCCTTGTTATTCCTTGAATCTTGGAATGTTTAATCATTCCAGGGGGATGGATAACTTAACTGCAAGCCTGAGGATTCCCTTAGTTAAAATGGCAGAAAACACAAATGTGGCATGAAGTCCGAAATACCATAATAACAACTCACCTCACATGACCTGGGGTTGACAGCATTTCTTCTAGCCTTTAAAAGTTATTTTGAATTGGATTTTCACATTACAGCTTTGGTTTCAATGTGTTTGCCAGTATCAAAAAAAAAAATTCACTTATGTTCAGAAATTCAGAGTACACCATTCTAAAAGACAACAAATTTTAAAAAGTCAGAGTTTGGTTGAAATATTCTGAAAGTCAACAATGTAAATGATGTCGCCTTGTTAGTGGAATTGTCACAGCAATGAATCAACATCCCTGAGTGCCCATTTGTACTCATTAATTGTGTTTCCTTCTTTCTTTATTCACTTAGGGACATCATGAATAACAAAGTATTTTACCAACACCCAAATCTAATGAGAGCTCTGGGGATGCATGAGACGGTGATGGAGGTGATGGTGAATGTGCTTGGAGGTGGAGAGTCCAAGGTAGATTTCTCTGGATTCGAACATCATTCAAGTTTACTGTCATAATACCTCAATTCTTTGCATTTTACTCCTGGATACATCATCCCAATAAGTAATTTGTCAGTGAATTGATTCATTAAAATATGATGCAACATTATTTATTCCTTATTGATAGTATATATTTCTTGTTGGTATCACCAGCTTGAGTTTTAGCCTAAATCTAAGTATGTTGAAGAATGAGTTGTAAATTGCCATTAACTTGTCATCGTTTGAGGCAGTGTCAGCACTATTTTATCCCTCTTCAAAGGTGAATCCATGAAATCTCTTACATATTCTCAACAAGGATGCTACATATTCTACAAAATTTAAATTAAATATGCATATTTATGTCGATTGAAAAGGTGCGACATTACCTGTTTACCCCCAAAAGTACCTGGTGCGGAGACTATTGTTTGCAAATTCGAAAAACACTTAAATAAAATTTCCGGATACAGTATTGTTGAGGAAATGATATAGTCCACTTCTCAATATTTCCCATGACATAACATTTCCACTATTACTGGATAATGAAATCATAAAGTGCTTTGTGACCTTTCTGATTTTTTTCCCAATTATTGAACTTTAAAAGAAATGTTCAAATTAAATCAAGTCTATTTTGTTCTACCTTTGTTTAGGAAATTATCTTCCCAAAGATGGTCGCCAATTGTTGCCGTTTCCTGTGCTATTTCTGTCGAATTAGCAGGCAAAATCAAAAAGCCATGTTTGACCACTTAAGCTATTTATTGGAAAACAGCAGTGTTGGATTAGGTGAGGAGAAAAATAAATGATTTGCTGGATGTCCTTTTATTTTATGAATTAATGGAGCATTCTCTTCTGATCTTACTGGTATTCATACACTAGAACAGTACTGTTCAGAATCTAGATATTTCTGGTCATGTAATCCAGAGGCTGAGACTAATGTTCCAGCAATATGAGTTCAAAATCTACCATGGCAACTTGGGGAATTTAAATTCAATTTATAGATTTGTCATAAGATGCTAGCCTCAGTAATGATGAGGGGAGGCAATGGCCTAGTGGTATTATCGCTGGACTGTTAATTCAGAGACCAAGGTAATGTTCTGGGGACCCAGGTTTGAATCCCACTGTGGCAGATGGTGGAATTTGAATTCTATAAAATATCTGAAATTAGGAGTTTAATGGTGACTATGAATCCATTGCCGATTGTTGGGGAAAAGCTCACCTGGTTTGCTAATGTCCTCTTGGGAAGGAAACTGTCATCCTTACCTGGTCTGGCCTACATGTGACTCCAGATCCACACCAATGTGGTTGACTCTTAACTGCCCTCTGCACAATTAGGGATGGACAATCCTCAGCAACATCCTCATCTTGTTAATGAATAAAGGGGGAAAAAATGATGATGAAACTACTGGATTGTTGTAAAATCTCTACTATTTTAGTGCAGCTTATTTGAGACTGCAGTTGCACAACAGTGTGGTTGACTCTTAACTGTCCCCTGAAATTGCCTTACAAGCAAGTTCATTTGCTACAGAAGAAAGTACTGTGTGTGAACAATGGTTAAAAAAGGTGAATCACTAGGGCAAAAAGGGGTGGCAATAAAATACTGGCCTCGCTTGCAACACTCACATCCCAGTAATGACTTAAAAATGTCACAATTGATTTCACTTAAAAAGATTCTTCTATTGGATGTTTTCATTAAACAGCATGTTGGATTTGGGCATGATGGTGTTATTAGTTACTCGTATTATTGTGTCTTGTGCCCTTAGTATTGCTTCGTAATGGTGAACATAATTCATATCAGCCTTTCATAGTTTAACTGTGCCTTAAAGAGTAGCCCTGCACTGTGTTAAATGTTACTTTCATGTTGATTTCAAAAGTGAGTTAAAAAATAGACCAACAGTTAATTTATTAAAGGTACAATGGAATCATAGAGTTTCTATGGCATGGCAAGAGACCCTTCAGCCCATCATGTCCATACCAGCCATCATGCATCCATCAATTCTAACCCTATTTTCTAGCACTTGGCCCGTAGCCTTATGTTCATGTATTTATTAATGATGATTTGCAATTGGATTTGATACTCGAACTTCAGATACCTGCCAGGAGTGCTCAATGCATTCTGAAACTGAATTTAAGCATTTCTTAATCAGTCGAAACCTTTCTCTGTCAACGTTACAATTATTAAAATATCTCAGCCCTGTAGTATCTGACTGTGTATAGGGGAGGCAAATTCTTTTGTCTGATACAATATTAAACAACGCTGTCGTACCTAAACCACTTATAAAACTATTTCTTAAATGTTTTATATTTTCTTAACAGCTTCTCCTTCAATGCGAGGGTCTACTCCTTTGGATGTTGCAGCAGCATCTGTAATGGACAACAATGAACTTGCCTTAGCATTGCGAGAGCCCGACTTAGAGAAAGTATGTATTTATAGATTTCTGGAAGTATATATATGTTTGGTGGTGGTATCCTCTGGTGGTGGTGGAAATGGCAAAGGATGATCCTTTGGATGTGGACACTAGTGGGGTGGAAAGTGAAAACAAGGGAAACCCTATCACTGCTCTGGGAGGAGGGGAAGGGGGTGAGGGAAGAATTGCAGAAGAAGGGTGGATCAGGCTGAAGGTCCTGGGGGATTGCTCAGTTGAGGAAAAAAATGGAAAATGTCAGATAAAGGTTCATTGGACCTGAAATGTTAACTCTGCTTTCACTGCACAGATACTGCCGGACCTGCTCAGTGAATTATTTGTACTTCTTTCAATATAGCATTCATGGGTGCCAGTGTAGCCTCCTCTATATTGATGTTTGCAGAACACCTCCAGTCTGTTCGTAAGAACGACCTTGAGGCGCAAGTTGCTTGCTATGTCGATACACAGTTTTTTTTCTTTATTCATTCACGGGACGAGGGTGTCACTGGCTAGGCAGCATTTATTGCCCATCCCTAAATGCCCAGAGGGCAGTTAAGAGTCAACTCTTAACAGTAAAGAGCGTAGTTAAGAATCTTGCTCTCAGTGCTAGAATTTCCAGCCTAGGTCTGCTGCAGTGCAGGTAGCACAGTGGCTCAGTGCCTAGCACTGCTGCCTCACAGCACCAGGGACCTGTTTTTGCTTTCAGTCTTGGGCGACTGTCTGTGTGGAGTTTGCACATTCTCCTTGTAGGATAACAAGGTGTAGAGCTAGATGAACACAGCAGGCCAAGCAGCATCAGAGGTGCGGGAAAGCTGACGTTTCGGGTCTGGACCCACCTTGTAGGATTCCTCTTGGTGCTCTTGTTTCCTCCTACAGTCCAAAGATGTGCAGGTTAGGTGGATTGGCCATGCTAAATTGTCTGTAGTGTTCAGAGATGTGCAGGCTAGGTGGATGAGCCCTGGGAAATACGGGGTTACAGGAATAGGGTAGGGGTTTGGATTTGGGCGAGATGCTCTTTGGAGGGTTATTGTGGACTCAATGGGCCAAATGACTTGCTTTCACACTGTAGGGATTCTGTGAAAGCTCAGTGCAAGCTGAAGGAATAGCACTTTATTTTCCACCTAAGTCCTTTGTAGCCTTCAGGATACTGCACTGAGCTCAACAACTTTGGAGCATGAATAAAAATACACCCCCTTCCCTCCCATTCACACCAGTGTCTTGTTTGCATGGATTCGTTCTCAGCAATGCCGACCTGTTTTTGACTGTTTGTATTTTTTTACTTAGACCTCTATTATTACAATTAGCACTCTTTTTGTCTTCTGCTCTGGGCAACCTCAATATCTGTTCCACTTGCTCCTCCTCCTCCTCTGTCAACAGCAAAAAAACATCATTTTCCAGCCACTTTCAGTCCCATAGAAGACTGATTGGATTCAAAATGTTCACTCTTTCTTTCTCCACAGATGGTGTCAAACTTGCAGCACTTTCTGTTTTTATTGTAATTTAGGTCTTATGTTTGTATATACAAATCTTAGCACAAATCTTGCTTTGCTACTCCGTTTAAACCTAAAGTTGAAATGACTACTTTGTGATTGCAATCTCACTTCCTGACTTATACCATTTGTTCTCTTCTCTGTGATCCATCTTATTATGTCATCCAAAGGGACCCATCTATCTTCTACTTTTAATGAACTGCGAATATTAACGCATGTGCTGCTGAACATACTGTGTGCATCTCAGCATTTTCTGTTTTTATATCAATGAACATGCTTGCAGCTTTCTTGTAAAATTATTCCAATGAGGTATTATACTGATTTGGAAATCAATTTGTGTTGAATAGAAAATAATTCCAGTTTCAGAAATAAATATTTTAGAATAAATAATTACAAGACCTCCATAATATCAATGTCATTTGCCATAGGGAGTGGGAGGGGGAATGACAATTCCTTGTCATAGTTATGCCATTTATGCATATTTCAAATTGTATGCATTAGTTCAGAATACAGTGGTTGAAGGAATTGTCCCTGATTCTTTTAGTTATTTATATGAATTTAAAATCAATACATTTTATATTGTTTAATCAACTAGATAATTTTATTGTTATGATTGATTGGCTTGATTTGATTTTTACCAACATTGATACTATTTTTTAAACAAAGAGACTGTGACATGTGATTGCATTCTCCACAATGTAGACCTGGTAGCAAGTATAATCACATTGTTCAAGAATATATCATTGTATAGTGGACTACTTCAGTTTGAGTAAAACAGTTCCGTGGACCTATATTCACTTCAGTCCCGTTTGCGTGTGAGTTAGATTCACAGATTGATCCTGCACAGAAGGAAACCATTTCCCCCATTGTACCAATCCTTGAAACGGGCTGTCAAGGCTTTCCACATGCTCCCCGACTCTCCAACTCTTTTGTGATACCCTGCAAATGTTTTGTCTTCGAGTATTTATCCTGGTCCCTTTAGAAAGTTATTATTCAATCTGCTTCCATTATCCTTTCAGGCAGTGCATTCCAGATCAGGTCAACTTGCTTCACAAATTTTCTTTCTTTCATGTTACCCCTGGTTCTTTAGCCAATCCCTTTCAGTAAATATTTCGTTGTTACTGATCCTTCTGACACTGGAAACTGTTTTTCATTATTCACTGGGTTTGCAGCCCTTGTTTATAATAAAGCAGGTGAGTGATGCCATCTTTCCTAGAAAACAACTCTTTCCGAATAATGCCTTCGGACATTTGGAAATAGAAGAGTAGACTCTGACATTTGCGCAGCCTGTGGACTCCCCAATACAATTCCTTGTTCTAGGCTTCCCATTTATTGACTCCACAGTCATGTCTGCTTCCGTGCTGCTTCACGCTTTATGATTTATGAAGGTGTTTTTTTTTTCCGTCCATTAATCCACAGCTGTTGTGTGATTATCATGAAGGGTCTAAGCCCACTTTCTTGACAGTGGCCTTGAGACAGTCGTAATGCTGCAGTCCTCCAACTACTCGCAGTTTGCCGCTGTACTAAGGGTGAGAGATTGACTGTTTGGAAAGAAAGACAGCCTCCTTTTAAGGTGATTGGAGGAAGGTGTAGGGGAGATGCCAGAGGTAGGTTCTTTACACAGAGAGTGGTGGGTGTGTGGAATATGCTGCTGGCAGTGGTAGTAGAGTCAGATACTTTAGAGACTTTTAAGCGACTCTTGGATGGGTACATGGAGGATAGTAAAATGCATGGTATGCAGGGTAGATTGATCTTAGTAGGATAATAGGTCGGCACAACATCGTGGGCCGAAGGGCCTGTACTGTGCCTGTATTGTTCTATGTTCTCTACCACTGATTTTTTGCAAGAAACCGATGCCCAATAGAAAACTGTGTCACAGTCAGAACCAGGGCTGATTCAGAGATTTCATTCTTTGGTGATAATCAGTGATGTTGCTAACTGAATAGAACTTCCTTTGAATAGTGCCCATTAAGATAGTGACTTGCTGCGTAGCTTTTCCTCCACAAAGGGGAAAACACCTGGAGCCATGATTTCTTGTAAGGGGAGTATTGTTCAGTTTTAATGGAAACGATGTAAAGTACATGTTAGTATATGAAAAGATTCTCCAACGAATTTTTATGGCAATCTCGTAGCCTAGTCACTACTACCTTTGAGCCAAAATTCCCGAGTTCAAGTTGTTGATTGTGGAAGAAGTGCTTAAGGCATAGTTTCAACAGCTTGTTAATCAGCCGGCTAATCCTTCCAACGCTTCTCTGTTATTCCCCAGTGGAAGACTGTGAAACCAACAAAGCATTTTTCATTGAACTGTTGTCCCTTTAAGAAGTTCAAAAGTACTCAGTTTGTAGCTGGATTAAACTCAGTTGGAAGAGATGAATGGTTAGCTGTACCCTCACTTCTGCGTCTCTTCCAGGAAATTGATATTTCATTCAAGCTGAATACTTTATCCAAATAATTTTGGAAATGCACTATTGAGATACTTGCTGATTTCTGCCTGTGTTCCATTCTCTAGGTTGTTCAATATTTAGCTGGCTGTGGCCTCCAGAGCTGCGCTATGCTAGTTGCCAAGGGTTACCCAGATATTGGGTGGAATCCTGTGGAAGGGGAGCGGTATCTGGATTTTCTCCGGTTTGCAGTATTTTGCAACGGTAAGGTGCTATCTAACAGCATGCCCTTTCAAAGTGAAGACTGTGCAGCAGGAATGGCAACAACTGTGTTATGAGAAGGGGAGAATAAAGTGTGATTTACTCCATTCATTGGAAATTCATGTCATTAATAGAAACCAGCCACATGTTAGGATGTGGACAGGACGCCTGTTCTGTGGGTAGAATCTTGTGCTCTCTTCACGGGGGATTGTCACCTCGTTCCCATCTTCACCACAATTAATGTGGTAGGAAGGTCCCTGGATAGTCTTCCTGCTTCACTGCTGTATTAAGTGGTGGATGAGAGACCTGCCAAGTGTGGAGTGCAGCAAGCGCAAATTCTGTGTAAAATGCACAAGCCTTTACTTATTTATTTTTTGGTCTGTCTGAGGTTTTCAGAACTGTGCATATCAAAAAGTATAAATCTTTTTCCATACTAAGTGAGCAATGTGATCTCAATTTCTGTTGAAAGACCACAAGCAAGAGAGATTTATTTCTGTGCTCGTTTAATAGTAATCAGAATCCAATATAAATGAGAGCACGGATTATGAATGAAGATAGTCAATATTAGTTGTTGTTTAACAGTTTTCATAGTCTTCCTTTGGAGAATTGGGTAAAGTCATTGTAAGACTCTTAGAGTGATTAACACTCTGACAGGACAGAACAATGAATGTTCCTTCCGTGGCTGTTTATCATTGTCATACCAACTAGAAGGGTGATTATTCCTGAACAACAGAAAAAAATTTAAAGGCTCGTACATGCTGTACCAAAAGACAAGGACACTACCAACTTCTATCTCCCCAGTATTGCAAATTTTGCAAATTTGCATGTTCTCATGCAGGGCTTTGCACATGAGGAACATGTTGCTAATATTTTGTAAATCACATTGTTAAGGTTTGCTAATGTCATTGTCAAGGTTAAGAGAAACAGGTTGTGGCTATTATTTATCTGTGAGCATATATAAGTAGCAGTGAGCTTTTGTGGCACAGTAGTGGAGCCCCTACCCCTGAACCAGGAGGCCAGTGTTCAAATCCTGCCTGCTCCAGGGGTATGTAATAACATCCATGAAAAGGTTGATTAGAAAATATCAACATGTAAATAGGAGAAAGTGCGACACTGATTTTGATTTACAGGTTGTTTGAGCTAATCATTGCACTCTTGATAACTTTCTGTAGGAAAGACAGTATTTGTTTCATTTTTTAAAAACAAAATAAAGCTTAAACATTTGCCCTATGTTGAAGGCTGTGTAAAATGCAAATAAGTTATCACAATTTTATAGTACTGCTGTACATCTGCAGTGAATTATTGATTAATTTCTAATTTTATAAACTGAGGAATTGGGCATCGGAATGAATGGATTCTAGAGTGTGAGTTATCTTCATTACATACCGGACAAATACAGACATTTCATTCAGATCATGCTATAAGTCATGTGCATGTCTTAATGCCAACTATTGTGAATGAATGGAGTAAATTAGCGAGTTATACCTCAATGTAGCAGAGAACTAATGTCCACTAGCAGAGCTAGCTGCAATGACAAGGAAAAAACTTTTTATTTGTCCGCAGGAAGGAAACAATGTAGCTTTCTAAATCCCTGCCTAATATTGGTTTCCAAATACATTGTTGATTTAAGGATTATTCTTTTGTGTGATGTGCTAGATTCTCACATTCACATTGTTCCATCAATATGTAGGCGAGAGTGTGGAAGAGAATGCCAATGAGGTTGTAAGGTTGTTGATACGTCGCCCCGAGTGCTTTGGCCCAGCTCTGAGAGGAGAAGGTGGGGACGGGCTTCTCGCTGCTATGGAGGAAGCTATAAAGATCTCTGAAGATCCAGCAAGAGATGGCCTGTCATCAACTGATGAATCTAGTAGAAGGCTGTGAGTCTGACTTATGACCTGACAGACAATTACTGTCATATTTTGGTGGTTGTGGAGTGACCAGGGCTATTCTTTGAAATATATATTTTTCAAGGTAGCTCCAGATGAATTAAGAAAAAGTCAAAAGTACTGTACCTTTCAGCCTGACATTTATTTATATTCAGGAGTTCAGCCTTGCTCAAGAAATGAAAATGTTAAAAATCCATTATAGTGTAACGATTGCTTTATCTAGATAAGGCAGCTGGAAATTTTGTGTTGCTGCAAAAGCTACAATTATTGATTAAAAAACTGTGGGGCCACAATCCTTCTTTAATGAAAATAAGGAAGAGCCCTGCTTTTCTTTGCAAATATTAACCGGCTAATAAAATTGAATTCACAGATCTTGCACATTTTAAACAGTGGATAGCTGTCATTTTATTAAGAGGATTTTAACTATAGATAAAGAAGTAATTTCCCATTACCCATGGCAAGAGGATTTTTTTCACAACTTGTAGTGATTGTGCTGTTGGAAATTACATGATATGCACAAGCAACTCATACCTTAGTGACACCAAAAGACACAGTCATTGCTGGCAGAAAACTGGCTACACCTGGGCTGTTATTTGGTGGCACATGTAGGGTGTACCAGAGGACAACAGGAAAGATACATAGAAAACATTTAAGCAAAGCTATGTAAAACGCATTTCTTGTAACATAAATAAGTTTTTTAGTTATAGCATATGCTGCTAACATTGTATAATGTTGGAATTTGTGCATATTTATAGGGAGGCAATGGCCTAGTGGTATTATCGCTGGACTGTTAATCCAGAAACCCAGATAATGTTCCGGGGACCTGGGTTCAAATCCCGTCATGGCAGATGGTGGAATCTGAATTCAATAAAAATATCTGGAATAAGAATCTAATAATGACCGTGAACTCATTGCTGATTGTCGGAAAAACCCATCTGGTTCACTAATGTCTTTTAGGGAAGGAAATTGCCATCCTTACCTGGTCTGGTCTACATGTGACTCCAGACCCACAACAATGTGGTTGACTCTTTACTGCCCTCTGGGCAATTAGGAATGGGCAATAAAAGCTGCCTAGCAGTGATGCCCTCATCCTGTAAATGAATAAAGAAATAAAAAAGTTTGTGTGTATTGAAGTTTGTGACCAACACAAATCACTGTTAGTACATGTTAAATTTCACAAAACACAGAAATGTTGTTGATACATTTGGTTAACAGAGACCTTGAAGAAGAGGAAGATGACACCATTCACATGGGGAATGCTATCATGACCTTCTATTCTGCTTTAATTGATTTATTGGGTCGTTGTGCGCCAGAGATCCATGTAAGTAACAAATCAAGTCAAAAATCAATTTCATTAGTCTCAGAGATCACTTTCATAAATCTACTCAGTACAGCTGTTCTAGTTTTTTTGGTTGCTCTTCAAAAAGTTGCTATGGATGGGGGAAAGGAATTTCCACATCTTGCTTGCGTTTGGAGAAAACATATTAACAATATTCACAATGTGATCAGTAAAGCAAATGAGATTGTCATTATTGAGAGTTTTGTCAATCTTATAACAACATTGTTCAAAGAGGTATTCCTGAATTCCTTTTAACATAGACGAAGAAGTCTCTAATATGGAGTGCCAGTGTTCACTTTCTTCCCACGTATTCACACCACAACTCCAGATTAAAAACTGAGACCTCTGTTTAATGCTGTTTTGCTTACCCTTTCTTCCTGCCATTGCTCCAAGTAAAGCTGCACAGAAGGTAAGGGGTCCATGGTTTTATAATTAAAAGGAGACTATCCAGGTCTATCCATTTAGTTGAAACAACATATTCCCACCAGATTCCCACAAGGTAGTGTAGTTGAACATACAAGGATAGGGGCAGGCAGTCATGAAAATCACAAACTAAACATTTCCTGCCATTTTTAGAACACCAGGTTTCAGATTAACTTTGGCAAAAGTCTGGGATCTAATTGTCTTCTAATCTTCAGTCGAGAGGTGAGAGTTAAAAATATGAAAAGCAAATAATACCATTGAACCAGAGACTGCCACCATGACCAAAAAAGCAATAGTAATCTTGACTTGTGTCAGTTGTGTAGTTCCCCTCTTTTACATATCTCAATGTTCATTTGTTCTTTTCTTTATTACAATAGCTCATTAATGCAGGCAAAGGGGAGGCAATCCGAATTAAATCCATTCTCCGTTCATTGATTCCGCTGGAAGACTTGGAAGGAGTTGTCAGCATTCCCTTCCAGATGCCAACAGTTGCGAAGGGTGAGTTTACCACATTTTATGAAAGGACTTTGGAGACTGCATGTTAAGTAATTTTAACTGTAGGTTATGACAAATGTAATTGTGCCATCAAATCAGCAGTTTGCTATCCATAAATGAAATGATCAACTCCATATGTGAACTTTTAGGCTATTCTGTTGAGTGTAGAGAGAAAAAGGTACTGAGTTGGGTATGGTTTGAAGTATGGTTGTGAAAATAGTCTCTGATCATTTATTAAGTACTTATACTATCTGCCTGTAAGCTTTCCATTGACAACAGGGATTATTGATTGCCTGAGGGAATTGCTGCAGCACTATGTTCAAGAATCTTTCAACATAACTTTGATGAGTGGGAACAAATCATATGTATTATTCTCATGGACAGCCTACATTTGCTAGAATAATGGTCTGTTACAAGATATGGCATTTTTAATACTGATGGGTTTCAAACTATTTCTGATTGACAGCTGTATATCTTTATTGACAAGCAAAAGAAGTATTTAAGAGGTTATTAAGATAATTGTCAAAAGAAGAATCTTACAAAAGAAATTGCATGGTGTTGAAATAATTAACCATAGGGATTCTGCTAGTCTGTGCAAACAATGTAACATAAATAACTCAACTGAACAGAATTGCTTGACTTAATGTGATGATATATTGTTTGTTTGTGAATGTGACATTTTTGAGGATTTATTTGCAAAAACTGCCGCATTGGAACAATATTTACATTCCTCAAATGCAGTTTTTGACCCCACCTCACTAAGTAAACTAATGCCCATTTTATCTTGGATAGTAGGAACTGCAGATGCTGGAGAATTTGAGATAACAAGGTGTAGAGCTGGATGAACACAGCAGGCCAAGCAGCATCAGAGGAGCAGGAAGGCTGACGTTTCAGGCCTAGACCCTTCATCAGAAATGGGGGAGGGGAAGGGGGTTCTGAAATAAATAGGGAGAGAGGGGGAGGCGGATAGAAGATGGATAGAGGAGAAGATAGGTGGAGAGGAAACAGACAGGTCAAAGAGGTGGGAATGGAGCCAGTAAAGGTGAGTGTAGGTGGGGAGTTAGGGAGGGGATAGGTCAGACAAGGGAGGACGGACAGGTCAAGGAGGCGGGATGAGGTTAGTAGGTAGGAGATAGGCGTGTGGCTTGAGGTGGGAGGAAGGGATAGATGGGAGGAAGGATAGGTTAGGGAGGCGGGGACGAGCTGGGCTGGTTTTGGGATGCGGTAGGGGGAGGGGAGATTTTGAAGCTTGTGAAATCCACATTGATACCATTGGGCTGCAGGGTTCCCAAGCGGAATATGAGTTGCAGTTCCTGCAACCTTCGGGTGGCATCATTGTGGCACTGCAGGAGGCCCAGGATGGACATGTCATCTGAGGCATGGGAGACGGAGTTGAAATGGTTCGTGACTGGGAGGTGCAGTTGTTTATTGCGAACCGAGCGTAGGTGTTCTGCAAAGCGTTATTGCGAACCGAGCGTAGGTGTTCTGCAAAGTGATTTCACAAGCTTCAAAATCTCCCCTCCCCCTACCGCATCCCAAAACCAGTCCAGCTCGTCCCTGCCTCCCTAACCTGTTCTTCCTCCCACCTATCCCCTCCTCCCACCTCAAGCCACACCCCCATCTCCTACCTACTAACCTCATCCCCCCCCCTTGACCTGTCTGTCCTCCCTGGACTGACCTATCCCCTCCCTAACTCCCCACCTACACTCACCTTTACTGGCTCCATCCCCGCCTCTTTGACCTGTCTGTTTCCTCTCCACCTATCTTCTCCTCTATCCATCTTCTATCCGCCTTCCCCTCTCTCCCTATTTATTTCAGAACCCCCTTCCCCTCCCCCATTTCTGATGAAGGGTCTAGGCCCGAAACGTCAGCCTTCCTGCTCCTCTGATGCTGCTTGGCCTGCTGTGTTCATCCAGCTCTACACCTTGTTATCCCATTTTATCTTGTCCTCCAAACACAGATATGACATCTATGGAAAACATAGAGGAATTGTGTAATTACTTAGCCAAGTGAAGAGATTGCTCACCCTATTCTCATGGACTGACATGAAAAAAAATTGAAAATAGAGTCAAATTAAATAGATTTACAATGAATAAAGGAATATGGTGCATCAAAGTGTTTGCCCAAATTTTTGTTCCAGCAGTATAGCTGATGTTAAGCTGTGAGTGCTCATACAGCAAGTGAGCGATTGGAATGAATATTGATAGATTCTACAATGTGCAGACAAACCACTCCATCTGGTGAAGAAGGACATTTTTTCTTGTTTTATTTTAACTGTTTTCCGAGTCTTGAATGGTTTCTCCGTTTGGTAGTTTTGATGAGACTTACTTGCTACTGAAAGTAGGATAGGCTTATTGAGCCTTGAACTTTGCCTTTCAGCTACTGAATTGTTCAAACTCATTTTTGGGAATTTTAACCTTTTTGATCTGATGAGAGGGCCTGGACTGAGGGCAGCAGCTCTACAGAGTGCAGAAAACCTGGAAGTTGGGGTTACCCCCAATATTGTTGTTGTTTTAAGTTGTATCTGATAACACCGACAAGTCTCCCACCTGATTGACAGGCTTAGATTCCAGTTGGGCAGGGATCAGTCTTGAGGAAGCCATTGGCTCAGATAGATCCACGGCCCAAGTTTGGGTTTGGGAAGGCATGCCAACCCATTGTTGGCATTAAAATAACTCTTATTATGTTCCTTTTACTTTGGCTGAATGTCCTGAGTTTGCAGCGAATCCTGGTGTGAGGGGTTTGCTACTCTTTAGCCTTTATCTCTCCAAGTGACAAGAAGATGTAGCACGCTGTCTTTTCAACAAGCTAGTGACAAGTTGCTCAAAAATTAAGGTGTTGCGTCCACTTCAGTTTACTGCCACATGGTTACAACTGTTATGGAGACAGTATTCAATGTAATATACAAAATTTGTTTCAGTATTGAACAGCTCTTGATAGTTTGCAAGTTTTCGATTATTTAAACTGATTTGGCATGTATTAGAGGTATGTGCATTGCTTTTTCTCTAAATGGCCTTGTATTGATTTCTGTCTGTTGGATAGAGTCTAGTCTTTACTGATCTTTGTTGGGATAAAGGAAAAGTGAAATCCCTGGTCCCATCCTACAGTGTAAATATTGAATGGAGATAAGATGACACTTTGAATTTGAAGAGTGGAATGTGGATTGAACCTCTTTTGCTCTGCTGGACTTTCAGCTAGGTTACTGTGGGGAATTGGTGAAAACGGTGGCTGCTTTCCTAGAGGAGAGGGAATATTTTGCTGTGCCCAAATGCCAACTCTGAAACACCATTCTCAGGATGGAGGTTGTTCGGCTGTCTGTGTGATGCTTGTGCACCTGAGAAAGGAAAGCAAGAACAAAAATCGTGATTTTTTTTTGTCATTTGAGTTATTTAAGAAAGGAGAGAATTAGTAAATGCGTACGAGAGATAGTAGGAACTGCAGATGCTGGAAAATCTGAGATAACAAGGTGTAGAGCCTATGATGCTGCTTGGCCTGCTGTGTTCATCCAGCTCTACACCTTGTTATCTCAGTAAATGCGTACGTTTCCTTTTAGATGGCACGGTTGTGGAGCCGGACATGTCAGCAGGATTCTGTCCAGATCACAAAGCCGCCATGGTTTTATTCCTGGAAAGGGTATACGGAATCGAAGAGCAAGATTTCCTTTTACATCTGCTGGAAGTTGGCTTTTTGCCAGACCTCCGTGCTGCTGCCTCGCTGGACACGGTGAGTAGATAAGAAGCCTCAGAAGTTTAATTGGTGTCATGTCTCTCCATGTTTCTGTCAACGTGATATAAGTATAGTAGTGAATCAGCAATTCACACTGAAAATAAACCAGCCTGACTGACTTCTAGATAAAAAAAATCAAGCTACAATATCAACGGATACCTCCAGGTAAGTGGATTAAACTAAATAAATTCAATTCATTGTCTATCCATTATTCATTTAGAAGTTGTCACCAGGAATTCAGCAAAGTGTAATAGTGAATATATATAATTTTTATGCAGCTATGCTGTAGGGATTTTTCTCAAGTATCTTGATAGATATAATGAAAATATAAAACTTTTATATTCTATCTACATGAACTGTACCTGCAGTAAAATTACACAATTTGTCTTCCCAAAGTAGGCTTCTATCCAGAACAAATTCTTTGAGAAGCTTAAGCTAGAATTAAGTATTGATGGTTACATGATTGGCACTAAGCGTGGAGTCCAATTTTAGCTGATAGATGTGCTTAAAACATACATTGGCACAGCATTAACACCCTTTGGATAAATCATACAGGTCCATAACATACGTATTGACACTCTGAAGGGCAACATGAGATTTGAATACGTAGACAGCTCGAAGGCCGTGAAACAGGAATTCTTTATTTTACTGGTATCAGGTCTTTACAAACAGGGAGAGAAATTAAGGATAAGCAAGGAACAATTTAGAATATGTACATGGAACGTAGCCTGTGGGTTATATTGGGCTGAAGAAATCTTTTTCTTTCTGCTTCCTCCTGCCACTTCCCATCAGCCCTACTTCTACCAACATCACTGTTTCCCCCCAGAGTCCATTCAGTTACTCCAGCCACCCTTGCTCACTGTTGCCACCTGCTGGTGGTGGTCCTGGCAATCTGTTTGGTTTCCTTGGTCAGTGTCCTTCATCACCATCACCACCTGTTTTCTGGAGGACCTGTTACAGGCTCGTTCACTACTAGTTATCAGTCTTTATATTATACATTTCCTTTGCACAACCAGTCTCTTTCCAGGACAAGGAATGGCACTTACAAAATGACAGTCGAGTTGGACCATAAGAAATAGGAACATAAGTAGGCCAGTCAGCCTCTTGAATCTGCTTAATCATTCAGTAAGTTCATGGCTGATCTGACATTTCTCATGTTCACTTTCCTGCATTTTCCCTGTAACTCTTGATTACTGATCAAGAATCTATCTACCTCAGTCTTAAATATACACAAGGACTCTGCCCCAGTTAATTTACCTTCATAATGTAGGGCCTCAACTACCATTGCTCATATTAAGAATTTGGTCTTGTGTCTGTCCACTCCCATAAATTTATTTACTATCAATTGTCTGTGCCATGGTAGATTCTCATTAATGTATGATAATCATCTTGGATCATGCAAGCCAGTGACAGCTTGAGGGCAGTTGGCATTAATGTTATAATTTGATGGTGATTATTCCAGTCTGTATTGTACAGAACATAAATTTTGTGACTGCGTAAACTGAAGAGCTGCGGCAGATGATTACAATGCTTGAGCAAAACTCCTGTCCAAAATTAGAATGCTTACATATTTGTAACTATATTGGCTGGTTGCCTTTGCACATGACTGTAAGCCATATACTGTGCACACCATGTTTCCTACAGGATCTCTATGGTATTGGTGTAGCAGATGTACATTTTCTGTGTTGACATGGTACATGATTTGTGTCTAATCAAATGTTAGTTAATGAATGGATGGTAGCTTCTCTATCACCTGCATTCGTTGTCCATACCCTTACAGAATTATTTCAAAGTTTCTGCCCCAATTAACAACAGGTTGGAAAAGAATGAGGTGGTATTCTGGAAACAGGTTCCCTATGGTCAGATCTTACCAGAATCAGAGAAACTGATAGTAGACAAATTAGACTTGGGATTACAGTAGTAAAGTGCCTGAGGGTTAGGGATTACCTGAGAAAAAATGGGTAAAGCCTTACACATGTTAGAACAAATATGCTTGTAACCAGAATACGGTCTGTATTTCAGCATGCTATTAGGGGTGTGTTTGAGCAGGGTTTCTAAACCTCATCAGTCTGTTCAGATTAGGGGCTTTTTGCTGGAGAGATAAAATATATACACATGTTTGTTTTTTTTTTCTCAACATCTAGGCTGCCTTGAGTGCTACAGATATGGCATTGGCACTGAATCGATACCTGTGCACTGCTGTTCTGCCACTGTTAACCAAGTGTGCCCCACTTTTTGCTGGTACAGAACATCATGCGTCTCTTATTGATTCCTTATTGCACACTGTCTACAGGCTGTCTAAAGGGTGCTCCCTCACTAAGGCCCAGAGGGATGCCATTGAGGAGTGCTTACTAGCAATCTGTGGGTAAGTTAAATGATAAGAAGACAACAAATTGAATATTTCAGGTTCAAGCTATCTATAACATCACACTCCTTCCTGTAAAAATCGAAAGAACTGCAGATGCTGTAAATCAGGAACAAAAGCAAAGTTGCTGGAAAAGCTCAGCAGGCCTGGGAACATCTGTGAAGGAAAAAACAGAGTTAACGTTTCGGGTCCAGTGACCCTTCCTCAGCCTAGTTCTGAAGAAGGGTCACCAGACCTGAAATGTTAACTCTGCTTTTCCCTTCGCAGATGCTGCCAGACCTGCTGAGCTTTTCCAGCAACTTTGTTTACGTTACTTTCTGTATTTGGTGGAAGCTAATGTTGCTTTCTGTTCAGTGTGCCTGAAAATCAATCAGAGAGTAGTGTTTCAACCTTATGTTGTGTAAGTCTCTAATGAGGCCGCACTGAGACTAGCTCTGACATTCTTACCATTTCACTTTCAGATGGTTATTAATATCTGAACATTTTTCCTGTTGCTTCCAAGTATTGATTGTTAGGCTGAGGTGGCGATTCAACCCCCTTGCAGCAATGCCAAGGGTGGGCCTGCCTCTGCAAATGTATTTACCCCGTAGCCATTAAGTGGTTAAAAACCGAACAAACTGCAGATGAGCTAATCAGAAACAGAAACAGAGATTGCTGGTAAAGCTCAGCAGGTCTGGCAGAATCTGTCAAGAGAGAAATCAGGGTTAACATTTCAGGTTGAATGACCCTTCTCAGAACTGATGGTAGCTAGGAAATGTGGGTTTATATGCAGCAGAGCGGAGGAGAAGGTAAGGAGTAAACAATAGGTAGTGATAGAGCCCAAAGAGAGAGAAGAACAGTTAGACAGACAACGGGGTGGATAACGATCTGGCTAGGAGGGTGAACAGCTATTAATGGGATAGTAGGAACTGCAGGGACTGTTAGTGGCTAACAATGTGTGTGTTGAATAGCAGACTGTGATAACAGGGCCTAGTGTGCCAAGATTGGGGTAAGGACATGGGAGAGCTCAAGCCCAAAAACTATTGAACTCAGTATTGAGTCCGAAGGGCTGCAGGGTCCCCAGGCGGAAAATGAGGTGCTGTTCTTCCAGCTTGAGCTTTACTTCGCTGGAGCACTGCAGCAAGCCTGAGGCGGGGAACAGGGTGGCATGTTGAAGTGGCAGGAAACTGGAAGCTCAGGGTCTTTTTTGCAGACAGAAAGCAGGTGTTCTATGAAGTGGTCACCCAGTCTACACTTCATTTCCCCAAGAGGAGACCACATTGTGAGCAGTGCCTGGTTTTAGACCCTTCCCCACCTGGCATCCTAACCCCAAGGGGCTGTGAAATTCCAGCCTACATTTCAAACATGCTTCACATTCTCTTCGCGCATCTTTCTGTTCTGCATCATCACAGCATAGTTTTCTTAGCTGTATTTCATCCCAAATCCTCAAACATAAGGGAACCTGATCTTCCTCAATGTCCCCCTAAAATCTTTTCAGATCCAAACTGGGCATAATCTAATTTAAACTCCCTGGTTTATCTTGTGCATTCTTTATTTATTTTGCTCTTGTTGGTGTCCTCAACAAATGGTTGTTTGCCCCTCATTTGGATTCGCAATTCAAAAAAAAAGAATAATAATATTTATGTAATAATGTCTTAAAGGGTAATGTAATTATTGCATTGCTGTAATGGTAAGTATGAGAAAGAATCACATTCTTTTCTCATCAGAGAGAATTCTCTTTCTACACAGCCAATTACGACCATCCATGATGCAGCACTTGTTGAGGAGATTGGTGTTTGATGTCCCCTTGCTGAACGAACATGCAAAGATGCCTCTGAAAGTAAGTATGTGTATTGACTAAATGTACTGGTAAGTCCCTCACAGCTCATTGTTGCTCTTGTTCTTGATGTTCATGGGAATGCTTAATGTGTTCATACAATATTCGATATGTCCTGTTTGGTTTTGTGATTCCAACCACTGGTAAGTAATGGTTTTGGTAGTTTGCTGCCATCAATTGAGTCTGAATGAGAAGAAGTTCTTGTCTTGAACAAGATGTAATTTATTGCACAATAGCAGTTCAGATATAAATTACTTCAGTAAGATAAAAATGTTACCAAGACCATGAAGAGACCTATAGATGTAAGTCTTCACTTCATCAGATTCTAACATGTTCTGCCTTAGCTCCACCCAAACCTATCTTTGGATGAGGTGGAGCATAAAGCAGCCTCCATCATCAATTGTTTCAGGACTATTACCGTATATACAACACCTTCATTTGCTATTTTCAATTTGCAAACAAAAGAAGTTTTTGAACAAAATTGAATTTCTTAGCAATTGGGAGCTCTGCTGCAGATTTTCTGCTATCCTGCATGTGAGACACAAGATGGTCAAGAATTCTTTTGTTGGCAGGACAACTTGGTGAGGTCTTACACTTATCTTGAATAACTTTATCTGAAGTGTACATGGTACCCATACCTGGCCAACAAGCAGGAGGAGCCAGTGCACAGGAAAGGTACAGATATTTTCTAATCAACCTGTTCAGAAATGTTATTACATGCTTCTGGAGCAGCTGAGACTTGAACCTGGGCCTTTTGGCTTAGAAGTACGGACACTACCACTGCACCACAAGAGCCCTCACTTGAAAGATGTAAAGTTAAAACAGGTTGGAAGGCACAGTGCAGTTTGCAAGTCAAACAAAGCAAACAACATTGAACTAAAACTGAGAAAAAAATTTGAGTGGAGAAACAAGATTTGGCAGTATTAGTGTACTTGTGGCATTTATTTTTCTGTTGTTTTAATGCAGAAGTTACCCTGTTAATTTTAAATTATTTAATGCCTCTGCCATAACAGCAGACAGGAGAATGTTAATTCATCATTGAGTACGTACACAGCAGTATGTGTAAGCTTTGATTAATCTTAAACCTCTTCAATTGAATAAAGGATGGCAATAATTGCAGGAATTGTACTTTTCCATTACTGTCAAGGAGCTGAATATCTTCAATGCACATCTTTAATGCAACACCATGCATGTCTAAAAATATGTCCACTGGTTGAAGCTATAACATAGGTTTACATGCCTTCTTGTATGACAAACACCAGAAGGAATTTCCATTGGACAAGGCTGAGCATCCCACAATCTGTGGATCAGTTCTTAGCCGTGCATTCTCACCACATCCAGTTGTGAATGCTGTTAGGCAATAAAACTGCCAACAGGAGGAGGAGGTTCCATAAATATTCCATTCTCAATGATGGGTGAGCTTAGCACATCAGTTCAAAATATTTACATTTATCTTCAGCCACAAGTCTTGGTCTTTTCCTGAGGTCCCTGGCATTACAGATATGAGTCTTCAAGCAATTTGATTCACTACCCATGATATCAAGAAATGACTGAAGGCACTGGATACTGCCAAGACAATAGGCCTAACAACATAAAGAGAGACTGAAGACTAATGATCAAAACTACCTGTGCCCCGAGACAAGCTGTTCTAGTACAACACTGGCATCTACCTGACAATGTGCAATGCTGCCCAGTATGCCCTGTCAACAAAAATCAGTTCAAATCTCGCCTGGTCACTTAACATCCGTCTGTCTATGCTTGATCAAAGACAAAGTGATGTAAGGGACCATCAACATTACTATCAAGCAGCACTTCAAAAGGAATACCCTGCTGCCTGACACTCAGTTTGGGATCTGCTCGAGCCATGTGACTCCTGATCTCATTGGCCCAAACATGGACAAAAGAGCTGAACTGCAGTGGTGAGATAAGAATGACTGCCTGTGACAATGAAGTAGCATGTAATAACATCTCTGAACAGGTTGATTAGAAAATATCTATACTTTTCATGTGCTCTGGCTCCTCCTACTTGTTCTAACTAAATAGGAATCAGTAGATTTTTGGGGAAAACTCGCTGTGTGTTGGAATCATACCTTGCACAAAGGAAGTTGGTTGTGGTTGTTGGAGATAAATTGTATCAACTCAGGGACATCTCTGCACGAGTTCCTCATGGTAATGTTTCATGTCCAACCATCTTCAGCTGCTTCATCAATGATTTTTCTTCCACCATAAGGTTAGAAGTGAGGATAATTGTCAGTTTTTGCACAATGTCCAGTACTGTTCACGACTTCTCAGATACCGAAGCAGTCAATGCCTAAATGCAGCAAGACTTGGACAACATCCAGCATGTGCTGATCAGTCGCAAGCAACATTCATGACAGGCAATTATCTTCTCTAACAAGAGAGAACCTAAACTTCAGCCCCTGATGTTCAATGACATTACTAATGCTGGATAACCCTCTCTTAACATCCTGGGATTTAACGTTGACCGTAAGCTGAACTGGACTCGCCGTATAAATATTGTGCCTACGAGAGCAGGTCAAAGGCTAGGAATTCTGTGGTAACTCACCTGCTATCCCCCCAGTGCCCGTGCCACAATTTAAGAATGTGATGGAACACTGTCCAATTTCCTGGATTGTTGCAGTGCCAGCAACACTCAGGATGCCTTGACTCCATCCATGACAATGCAACCCACTTAATTTGCATCCCATCCACCACCTTGAACATTCACTCCCCTCACCACTGATGCACATTGGTACAATCTGCAAGATGCACTGCAGTAACTCACCAAGGTTTATGCTATAGTATCTCCCGAATCCATGACCTCTACTACCCAGAAATACAAAAACAGCACCACCCGAAACTACCCCTCCATTTTGTAAAACATCTTGTCTTGGAGCTGTTTTGCTATGTCTTGTGGTACGTTTTGAAGAGACAGACTTATGTTCTTATTGCTTGTAGCATATGACTTTAGAGCGTGAAGGTCTTGTACTCTAACTTACCTGCTAGAAGCATGCTGCTGTGTTACAATCTAATAGCTCAATGTTAGTCCAGACATTGATGAAGTTGTGAATGTAATCTTTGTATCTAATAATAGCTAATTTTAATAAATGTCTATTTGATTCTTCAATAGCACAATATGCAAGCCCAGTTTCTTACGTTACATGGGATAATGTAAGCATTGCAATATCAAGTAAGGTATCTTGTTGGAGGCAGAAACTCACATCAGGAATTTGATCATTGTTCCTTCATTGTCACTGGGTCAAAATCTTGGAACTGCACCGACAGAAGAAGGCAGCTCACCTTCTTTAAAGCAGTTGGGAATGGGAAATAAATGCTGCACTAGCCAGTGGTGCCCATATCTCATGAACAAATTTCAAAAAGACCATAAATATTTCCCAAGTTTGGTAACATTTCTATTGTGTTAATTTATTCTTTAATATATTTTGTTTACAAAAACTTATATGTGAGAAATATGTCTATGTGTTGTTTAATCTAAAACATCAAGATCGAGGAACAGTAAGGAACCTAGATAATTAGCATTTGGAGTACATTTGGTTGAAAACTTAATCTTCATTAATGATGATGAAAAGGTTAAGATATAATTTCCTTCATGACTCAGTGGTGAGATGAGAATGACTGCCTGTGACAATGAGGTAGCATGCAATAACATGTAATAGCAAAGGATGATACAGTGTATAGATGTTTTAATGTGTTGCATCAGATATATAGGTGCTGAGCAGAGCCCAAGTGCTTTGTCAAAGGTAAGAGACATAGTCTGAGTCTCTCTTTGTACCGTTCAATGATACAGCACAGAAAGAGGCTGTTTGGCCAATAATGTCTGTGCTGACTGTTTGAAATACCTGTCCATTGGTCCCATTTCCTAGATCTTGACCCACAAATCTAGACGTCTTAAGAAGTTATCTGATTCCTATTTGGAAGTTATTATTAAACCTATTTCTATCACATTTTTAAGCGAACATTTCCAATCACAACAGCTGGCTGTGTAAAAATTTTCTTCTGACCTCGCCTCTGTTTCTTTTGCCACTGTTGCCCAGCATCCAATGGTGCGTTCATGGTGGAGGTTGTGGATAAATCACCACAAGCTACCTTTAATTTGGCTACTCATTAACAAATCTCTCAGACAATCAAAAACTGAAACAGTGATTTAAACTTTATTGCATGTGGCAACCAAAATTAGACCCCCCAAATATGCAAACTAAGCTTCACAACTCAACTTGGCTATTTCCTGATTAATGGTAGAATTTAGCTATGATTCCAACCAACAGTGTCTGGCTCTGGAAATGTCCAGGGTTCAATTCTTGTGCAGAGTTGTTCTTTGAAGTTCTGCTGAGACAGAGTTCTAAAGTTGCTTTCTTATACAATGTTCTGTCTTTCAAGTTTGTAATGTGATATTATTGATGATTCTTAGATTTTTTCATCCCCAACATTGATTATACTTCTGGAGACCTCAAGTCTGCAGCTCACCTTCTTATCAGAAGTAGCTCCCCTGTTCCTTGTTACATTCAGGGTTAGCTGTCTGTTTGAAACAGCCTGTCTTGCAATTAACCCCTTTACTTCAGAGCATTCCTTCTGCAGGCAGTCTTAATTGACCATTTGTCATGAGGCAGCAGGTTACCAAGCAGTGTTATTTCCTGTCTCCCTGGAAACAGCTTGTTTACGTTGCTTTTACTCCTTCTTCCCAGGGATGGTTAATTAGCATGTTGCTTTCAATTCCTTTATAATGGTTTCTCCTTGTCCCTTGCATCTCAGGAAACAGTTTACTCCAGAAAGAGATAATGATCATTCTTTCTGTGTAACAGTTTATTTTTGTTGATTCTTTCAATCCATGAAGTGATTAAAGTTCTGAAATTTACATTGTCGGAAGACATTGAGAGCAGCTTCTCTGTGCACCTTCTCAAGGAATGGTACACATTGTCTACTGAGGGAGAAATCAAATATGATCAATGCAATTTCTTGAAAAGTAATTTTTATTCAGTAACGGGCTTGTCATTCTTCTCTTCCAGTTATTAACTAATCACTATGAAAGGTGTTGGAAGTATTACTGTCTTCCTGGAGGTTGGGGTAGCTTTGGAGCAACTTCAGAAGAGGAACTTCATCTCTCCAGGAAGTTGTTCTGGGGGATTTTTGATGCCCTGTCCCAGAAGGTACCTTTTATTTCTACTTCATCATCTACCATACCAGCAATGTTTTCTTTAATTCTTTATTAAAGTCTGCCTGGTCTTACAATTCCGAAAACAATTTTAATATGGCAGGACCATTCCCTCTTACTTAATAATGATAATAAATTATATACCTGGTAGAATTTCCTGCTGTCTCTTTTGGCAAGTTTTTGAGTGGATAGAGCATTTAATTGGGCACAATGGTGGCATATCTGAATGCTTGCAACCCATGTTCTAGGCTGGTGGGATCACAGTCAACTCCAATGCTCTGCTGCTAATTCAAGTCTTTAAGTGGACAATTCATAAGCATTAAGGGCCTGATTCTGTTGTTTCTGGAAAAACCCATTGTAGCCCACCTCTCAGCATATGACATGCACAACAGATAAAACTGTGTCCAGTTTGTCAGCTTGCGTCAGTTGGTGGAGAGGCCTCCCTCATTCAAAGGCGCACCATGCCTGATTGGAACTCAACATCAGGATGTGGAGGGCAAATCACTCAGAGTCACATCCCCTTATTGCGAAACTAAAGTCTCTGGAAATTGGGAGTAACTCTCCATTGATTAAAGACATGCCTAGCACAAAGGAAAGTGGTTATAATTGTTAGAGGTCAATTATCTCAGCTCCAGGACCAACCATTTTTCGGCTACTTTATCAATGACCTTCCTTCCATCGTTAGATCTGAAGTATGGGTGTTCACTGATGACTGTGCAATGTTCAGCACTATTTGTAACTCCTCAGATACTGAAGCAGTCTATTTCTAAATGCAGAAAGAACTGGCCAATATTCAGTCTTGTTTTTGTTATGACCAGGAATAGCAAGCCAAACCAAAAAAGCCTTTCTATCACAGAATTTAACAGCTTAGCTTTATCCTGCTAAAGTTACAGTATTAATTATAAGTGACAAGGTCATCTGATTAGCATCTATGATTCGAACCGACCCCATTCTCACACAGACAGATGGACAGACAGAGACACAGTTAGGGGATAAATTGAAAGAAAATAAAAGAATTGTAATTTGTCAGTGCACTTAAATAGTTTCAAATGATAAATGCCAAGTCTTCATGCAATTGAGGTTGTAGACTTGCTTGCTGAGTCGGTGTGTTTGATTGCAGACGTTTCATCATCTGTTTCGTCACCCTGCTAGGTAACATCGTCCGTGTGCCTCCGGTGAAGCATTAGCGTTCTGTCCTGTTTGTTATTTATATGCCTCGGTTTGCTGGGATGGTTGGCATTACTTCCGGTTCTGTTTTTCAGTGGTTTGTATGTTGGGTCCAGTTCAGTATGTTTGTTGGTGGAGTTCCAGTTGGAATACCAGGCCTCCAGGAATTCCCTGGCATGTCTCTGTTTGGCTTTTGCTATTGTAGATGTGTTGTCCCAGTTGAATTCGTATCCATCTTTGTCCTTGTATATTGAGAGCAGTGAGAATTGTTCGTGTCTCTTGGTGGCTAGTTGGTGTTTGTGTATCCTTATTGTCAGTTTTCTTCTGGTTTGGCCTATGTAATGTTTCTAACAGTCCTTGCATGGTATTTTGTATATTATGTTAGTTTTACTGGTTGTGGGTATGGGATCCTTTATATTCGTCAATAGCTGTCGCAGGGTGGTTGTTGGTTTGTGGGGTACCCTGAAACCTAGGGGTCTGAGTAGTCTTGTGGTTTTCTCTGATATGTCTCTGATGTTCGGTAGGGTGACTAGTGTGTCTGGCTGTGTCATGTCTTCTTGTTGTGGTCTGTCGCGGAGGTAATGGCGGATTGTGTTTTCTGGGTATCCATTCCTTTTAAAAACTCCGCATAAGTGTTCCTGTTCAGCTTTGCGCAATTCTGGGTTGCTGCAGTGTGTTGTGGCTCATTTGAATAATGTCCTGATGCAGCTCTGTTTATGGGTGTTGGGATGGTTGCTTGTGTAATGAAGTATCTGGTCTGTATGTGTGGTCTGGAGTTCCCTGTTGTTCTTATGTTCTACCATTATGTTTAGGAAGGGTAGTCAGTTATTGTTCTCTTCTTCTTTGGTGAATTTTATTCCGATGGGGATGTTGCTTATGTGTCAGTGGGTTTCTTCCAGTCTTGTGCAATGGACTCATGGAGGAAATGCAGCAGACCATCAAACAAATGATAGTCCCAACACTGGGCAGAAAAGGTAAGTGGAACACATTCAACACAGAAGAGAAGAAAGCCCTGGAAAGACTCAAGAAAGACAGAAACATCGTAATTTTACCGGCAGATGAAAGACGCATGACACTAATCCTTAACAGAGCCCAATTCATTGAGAAAGCTACCGCACTACTAGCAGATACCGACACCTACCAACAGATGCCAGAGGGATCTAACACACTCTGCCTCTATGGACCCCTAAGACACACAAGCCAGGAGTCCCCCTCAGACCCATTGTCTCACTACCAGGCACACCAACATATAGACTAGCCAAAGAACTACGACGAAAACTCGAATACTTAGTTGGCAACACTACCCACTCCATCCACTCCTCCCTCGAATCCCTCAAAATTATCAAGGACGTTCTGGTTGGCACAGACCAGTTTGGGCCTGTGGGCTTGTTTTATGCTTTAGGACTCTATGACACCAGAATAGAAGAGAATGAGATAATGATATCCTTCAACATAACAGCACGATTTACATCCATAGACTTAGCCAAACAGGCAATTGCCACACTGCTGGGTGAATCAGGAAGGAACGCACCTCATGACACTAACAGCAACAAGGAGAGCAATCTGAAACTGCTGGATCTGTGCCTCACAACCCAACTCACCTTCAACAACTGTATATTCAAACAAATGAGCGACACACCAATGGGATCCCAATATCAGGACTGATTGCAGAAGCGGTAATGCAAAGGTTAGAATGGACAGCACTCCCCGTTATACAACCCAAACTCTGGGTCCGCTATGTAGATGACATCTTCGTGATTATCAAACGCACAAGACTGGAAGAAACCCAACCCGGAATTGCATAAAGCAGAACAGGACCACTTATATGGAGTTTTAAAAAGGAATGGATACCCAAAATGGATGCCGTTTCCTCCGCGACAAACCACAACAAGAAGCCACAATATGGCCAGATAACTAGTCACCCTACTGAACATCAGAGACATATCAGAGATGACCACAAGACTACTCACAGCCCTAAGTATCAGACTAGCCCACAAACCAACAACCATCCTGCGACAGCTACTGACGAACATAAAGGATCCCATACCCACAACCATTAAATAATATACAAAATACCATGCAAGGATTGTGAGAAACATTACATAGGCCAAACTGGAAGAAAACTGACAATAAAGATACACAAACACCAACTAGCCACCAAGAGACACAACCAATTCTCACTGGTCTCACCTACATACAGAAAAAGATGGACACAAATTTGACTGGGACAACACATCCATAATAGCAAAAGCCAAACAGAGACATGCTGGGGAATTCCTGGAGGCCTAGCATTCCAACCAGAACTCCATCAACAAACACATTGAACTGGACCCGATATACAAACCACTGAAAAACAGAACCAGAAGCGATGCCAACCATCTCAGCAAACCGAGGCACAGAAATAACAAGCGGGACAGCACACCAATGCTTCACCGGAGGCGCACTGACAATGTTACCTAGCAGGGTGATGAAACATCTGCAATCAAACACACCAGCTTGGCAAGCAAGTCAACAACCTGTTCCACAACCCTAGTCACAAATCTTCTCAAAAATCTTCATGCAATTCTTGGATAATGAGTTGTTCTCAAGGATGTAATTGTATATACAATTTTGAAGTCACTGGTGAATGTGAACAATTTCAGTAGACTTACAGAATTGTTTACCTATTTCTTACAAACTGGGATTCTTTTCTCAGAACATTCAATAGTTCTTTAACTGGATAGAAAAATAGAGAGAACAAAAAAACAGTGGCCAGCCCCAAAGCTTCCAAAGTCACTCCACACCTGCCAGAACCAGTCAGAACTGTTTTTATTTCTTTTATCCTTTTTATAATCAATATACTCTGTGGTTAGCTGATTAGCATTGGTCCTCTCTTGATTGACCAACTCAATATACAACCAGCTCCCAGCCGTGGGCATTGCATCATATGGTGGTGAATTATCCACAGTGTTCCTCAGATTAGCAATTAAATTGCATTATCTTACAGGCCAGCAACCAAACATCTGCATTTGCTCTCTCCTCTTTTTGAATATGCAGCTGTTTAAAGTTCAACAAACCCTAAATTGAGCTCACAGCTTTACCAAAAAAAAGAGGAAAATAACAGAAAAATGGTGAGGGTCTGATCATTTTTATAAGTGGCAATATCGCTAATGCCACATAAATGCCAATCAATGAATATCTCAAAAAAGAGAAAATCTTACTATTATCCCTTGTCATTCAATGGTGTTACTATATTGAATCCCTTCTACCAGCATCATGGGGGTTACCATTGACTAGAAACTGAACTGTACTAACTGTAGAGATTAGGGGTGAGGAATCCTGCAGTGACTAACTCACCTCCTGACTCCCTAGAGTCTGTCCATGATCTATAAGGCACAAGTCAGGAGCCTGATCGAATACTTTCCACGTTAATGGATGAGCACAGCTACCAAAACACTTGAAGCAAGGACAAAACAGCCTGATTGATTGGCACCACATTCGAAAGTATTCTGTGTTTCCACCCCGGAGCACAGCATCATCCATGTGTGCTATCTACAAGATGCACTGCAGAAATTCACCAAAGATTTTTAGACCACACCTTCCAAACCCATGACCACTTCCATCTAGAAAGACAAGGACAGCCGATACAATAAGAACACCACACATACAAATTCCCCTCCAAGCCACTCAATCATCCTGACTTGGAAATATCACCATTCTTCTGGTGTGAATGGATCAAAATCCTGGAAATCCCTCTGTAATGATATTGTGGATCTATGAATACCGAATTGACTGTAGCAGTTTATGATGACAGCTCAACATCGGCTTCTCAATGGCAACTAGAGATAGATAATAAATCCTGGCTTAGTCAGTTATGCCAAACATGAATGAAAAAACAATCACATTTAGAATAAAATTGCATGTTGTGTGCATTTAGAGATTCATACTTTTGAGCTTCGTCAGAAATAGTATAAGAGCAAATGGAGGGAACTACTGAGAAACTTGTATTTTTAAGCAGTGATCTAATGATTGTTTTTGACTTCTCCCTGTTTCTCTGCAGAAATATGAACCAGAGTTATTTAAGTTAGCTTTGCCCTGTTTGAGCGCTGTTGCAGGGGCCCTGCCTCCAGATTACATGGAATCCAACTATGTGGCAATGATGGAGAAACAATCGTCAGTGGATACTGAAGGAAATTTCAACCCGCAACCCGTAGATACTTTAAGGTTTGATTGGGTAGCTTTTGAACACTTCTGTTTACTGAAACGTAAGATCACAGGACATAGGAACAAAAGTAGGCCACTCACCCCATCAAGTCTGCTCTGCCATTCAATTAGATCATGATTGCTCTGATTATCTTAAACTCCACGTTCCTGTCTTTTCCCCATAAGCCTTGATTGTATTATTGATTAAAAATCTGCCTATCTCAGCCTCGAATATACTTGCTGATCCAACCTCGATTTCCCTCTGCAGTAAAGAATTCTACATATTCATAGCCCTCTGAGAAAATAATTTCTTCTGTGTCTTAGAATGTGCGACCCTTTATTCTGAGATTAAACCCTCTGGTCTTAGATTCTTCCACAAGGCTAAACAACCTTTCTGCATATACCCTGTCAAGTCACTGAAGAATTCTATACATTTCGATAAGGTCATCTCTCATTCTTCTATATTCCATAAAGTACAGACCCGATTACTCAACCTCTCCTCATAAGACAATCCTTTTATATCTGGTATCAGCCTAGTGAACCTTCTAATTCATTATGTCCTACTCAGGAACTACCAATATCTGTGCAAACACATGCTGTTAAATTCTTGATGATAGCTAATAGCTGCAATTTTCTAGAAAGGGAGGAAAGACAAATATAACCCTTGGTTCCCTTGTGTAAACATACAATCACAAATTAAACAAGGTCAAGAGAAGACTGGGAATCATACACAAGTCAGCCTGATGTTGGTAGTGAGGAAAATGCTAGAGTCCATTATAAAAGATTTAATAGCAGAGCACTTGAGAACAGCGACAGGATTAGACAGAGTCAGCATGGATCTATGAAAGGGAAATCATGCTTGATGAATCTATTGGAACTTTTCAAGGTTGTAACTCGTGGAATTGATAAGGGGGAATATGTGGATATGGTTTACTTGGACTCTCAGAACCCTGAAGAAGGGTCAGTGGACCTGAAACGTTAACTCTGATTTCTCTTCAAAGGTGCTGCTAGACCTGCTGAGTTTTTCCAGCAATTTCTGTTTTTGTTTCTCATTTCCAGCATCTGCAGTTCTTTCAGCTGAAAGTAAGCATGCCACAGAAAGTGGTTGAGGCCAAAACATTGAATGCTTTCAAAAAGGAGATAGTTATAGTTATTAGGGGTAAGGGGATCAAAGAGGGTATTGGGTGAAAGCGGGAACAGGGTAATGGGTAGGATAATCAGCTATGATCATATTGAATGGCAGAGCAAGCTTGAAAGGCCAAATGGCCAACTTCTGTTCTTATTTTCCATATTTCTATGAAAGTATGCATTAGGAGTGATAGTAGACTACTCAGCCTTTGAGCTGCTCTACCATTCAATATCATCATGGCTGATCTGATTTTTCCACATTCTCACCCACCCCATACCATTCCCCACCCCCCCACCCCACCCACCTTGCTTATCAAGAATCTAATGTCTTAAAAATATTCAGGAACTCTGCTTCCACTGCCTTTTGAAGAAGAGTTCCAAAGACTTTGAACCATCTCTGAGAAAAAAAAGTATTCTTATCTCTGTCTTAAATGTGTGACCCCTAGTTTGAAAGAGTGACCCTGAGTTCTAGATTCTCTGACAAGAGGAAACATCCTTTCCACAATGAATACACCTCAGGAGTTTAATGTTCTAATCATATCATCTCTTACTCTTCAAACCTCTAGTGGGTAAAAGCCTACTCTGTACAACCTTTCCTCTTAAGGCAGTCCACCCTTTCCAGGTATTCACCCAGCAAACCTTTTCCAAAATGCTTCCAATACATTTACATCTCACCATAAATAAGGTGACCAGTTCTGTACACAGTGTTCCAGGTATGGTGTTACCAATGTCCTGTATAGACCACTATAAAGCATAGGATAAGAAGTTGGTCATTAAGCCTATCAAACCTACCATTTAATGAGATCATAATTTGATAATCTTCAAATTCACTTTCCTGATTTTTCCCCAAAGCCCTCGAATCCTTTACTGTTTAATAATCTTCTGCCTCTCTCTTGAATATAATTAATGACCCAGCCTCTACAGCCCTCTTTGGTAAAAATTTCCACAGATTCAGTGTCTTCAGGAGAAGAAAATTCCCCTTGTACCTGTCTTAACCCCTGTCTTGGATCACAGCGTGTATTTGAGCGGTTCTTTTCAGATTTGCATAAATATAACTAAGAGAAGGCTCGTCCAACAGCAATTTGCTTAAATATGAATGCTTATTAAGTAGTAATGAATTATTATAGTGGTAATTATAAATGAATAGTAAATGGAAGAGAAAAGGGAAAACAAAACAAGTTTTGCACCCTTCTAGAAAAAAAGCAACAGTTCTCATGCCTAGAGATAGTAGGAACTGCAGATGCTGGAAAATCTGAGATAACAAGGTGTAGAGCTGGATGAACACAGCAGGCCAAGCAGCATCATAGGAGCAGGAAGGCTGATGTTTTGGGTCTAGAACCTTCATCAGAAATGGGGGAGGGGAAGGGGGTTCTGAAATA